TCTTTTTGACCTCGTCTTTTTTTTTCCCTCAAATCTTTTTTATTGACGTGCCCAGCAAGCGGCCAGCCCAGTCCATCCCGCCATAACCACCACCCCCCCAGGACACGCCGTGGTAGTACTACTGAGGCATTTTATTTTTGTATCATAGAGACTTGAACTTGACCCCCATCTTCACCCTCTGCCCCCATACAACTGCAAGTCACTAGAGAGTTTCTTCCTCGAAACGCACGACTCACGCTGGCTTCCCCTTGTTGTCAGATATCCATCCTCGCATCCTGGCAGATGAGACAGCGAGTTGTCTCTGTCTTGATAGGTCGGCCCGTCTAATGGGGCATCTGGGGGACCAAATTTACGCTAGAAGCTGGCCAATATTCTTCCACACAGAAGAGGCTTGGCCCAAAAAAAGGCACGAGACATGGAAGAGACTCGGAGAGAGAGAGATAGCATAGCACGGCACGGCACACACACACACACACACACACACAAGCGCAGAAATGAGAGATAGAGAGAGAGAAAGAAAGAAAGCGAGGCAAGCCAGCCGCAAGCCGCAAAGCTAATGGAAAGGAACGAGGGTCCCAAAGGTCCCCACGTCCAACGCCGTACCGAGTAGTAGGCTGGATTGCCCTGCCAGCCAGCTCCTAGTGGTAGCTCCCCAGTTCTTCGGCACGAAGTCCTCGTCTCTTGTCTTGTCAGTGTCTTTCTAGTGGCAGTTAGCTGTACGGAGTACCTCGTACACAGTGGTACATACTGGCAGTGACAGACAAACCCTTTGCCTTTCTCGGTCCAGTTTTTGCTCTTTGCTCTTACTGTACTGCTGCTCCTGCTCCTACTCCCTCTGCTCCTGGGGGGTTTTTTTTTTTCCCTTGCGCCAGACGTTTGCCCAGCGGCAAAAATGTCCCGTCGTCTCTACTCTGTACGGTACCCTTGCTCGAAATAGCATCGACGTCGCTCGCCCGGTCACAGTGTGTGGGTTTTTCCCTCACCCGCATCTGTTTTGATGCTTGCAACTTCTTGGCGTTGATCCGAGCAAGACGGGGTACGCAGCTACACGCCGGTCCCTTGTTCACACACACACACACACACACACACACACACACACACACCTACCACACAGCTCACACACGCCGACGCCGCGGTCTCTTGCCTCTCGTCTCGTTTCTTGCCTCTCCATTGCCGCGCGAGGGTACTCCGTACGAAAGTACGGAGTAAGGTATGGGACTATGGCACAATGCCAGTCTACCTTTTTTTCCCCTTCCACCCTGGGGGCCATGGCCCATGCCGTACCTTGCCTTGCCTTGCCTTGGTCCCATCTTCTTGTTCCCATCCGCGGAACCTCTTCGACCAGTCCGGCCTCGCCGTTTGACAGATGTAATATAATATGCCCCATTCTCCCACCGTGATTCATGTCTCTTCTGGCTTAGCCTTCTTCCTCACCCTGCTCTGCCCCTCCTTCCTCTCTCCTCCCTCATCCTCTACCTTCCTATATATACCTGTCCTGCGCTCGCCTCTACCTACCCCTACAGCTGGACTGTATTCCTTTTCCGTTGTTATATGGCACCATACAAAATGGCGGGCTTAATAGGAAAAGGAGGCAACAAGCACTACCCTCAACCCATCAACACCGAGGATGACGACCAGGACCTCGAGACCGGCAACTTCATCCAGGAGCGCGCCAGGAACAACCGGGTTGAAGGCGGTGCTGGCGAAGGTGGTACCAACGAGGAGTACAGATCGTAAGTCTTCACCACCGTCGTCAAATCCAGTCTTACACGCCATTGGCTCTTCTCCCAAGTCCCAATGGCTCAAAATTTCTCTCTCCAATGTAACGCTGGCGACTAACACCGCACTCTCAACCACAGTCTGATCAAGTACATCGACACATACCGGGACCCCAACGCTGAGGTGGAAGAGACCGAGGAGGCCGCAGCCAAGAAGATTCCAGCATGGCAATTCTGGAAGAAGGCTGCCGTCGAGGGCGCTGGTGCCGGCGGCTTCGTCACTCCCGCCGACTGGCTCAAGACCGACATGAGGCAAGGTCTTGACCCCACGGAAGTCGACCGCCGCAGAAAGTACACTGGCTGGAACGAACTCACCACCGAGAAGGAGAACATGTTCCTCAAGTTCGTCGGTTTCTTCCGCGGTCCCATTCTCTACGGTAAGCACAAGCCAACAACCCTCACCTCATTGCAGTCGGGGCATGGACTGCATGAAACATCACGGGCAAAACGCTAATTCTCAATGCAGTCATGGAGTGTGCCGCTATCCTCGCCTTTGCCCTGCAGGACTGGCTTGACGCCGGTCTTATCGTCGCCATTTTGTTGCTCAACGCCGCTGTCGGTTGGTACCAGGAGAAGCAGGCGGCTGATGTCGTCGCCTCCCTCAAGGGTGACATTGCCATGAAGGCCCGCGTCGTCCGCCAGGGTAAGGAGGAAGACATTCGCGCCCGTGAACTCGTCCCCGGTGATATCGTAAGTCGTCTCATCTTCGTCATCGCATCGGCGATCCAGGAAGCCAATCTTACTTACACACGGACTCTCTAGATCATTGTCGAGGAAGGCCACGTCGTCCCCGCCGATTGCCAGCTTATCTGCGACTACGAGAACCCCGCCGGCTACAGCGCCTACAAGGCTGAGCTCGAGGCTCAGGATGTCATGTCCCCCCGCCGCGAGAAGTTCGAGGAGGGTGATGAGGAGAACGCCAACCCCGCCCTCGGACACTCCATCGTCGCCGTTGACCAGTCTGCCATGACTGGTGAGTCTCTCGCTGTCGACAAGTTCATGACCGACACTTGCTACTACACCACCGGCTGCAAGCGCGGCAAGGCTTTCTGTATCGTCACCCACGGCGCCCAGGCCTCTTTCGTCGGAAAGACCGCCTCCCTCGTCCAGGGCGCCCAGGACCAGGGTCACTTCAAGGCCATCATGAACTCCATCGGTACTACGCTTCTCGCCCTCGTCATCATCTTCATCCTCGCTGCCTGGATTGGTGGTTTCTACCGCTCCATCAAGGTCTCTGAGGAGGGCACTTCCGTCAACTTGCTCCACTACGCCCTGATTCTTCTCATCATTGGTGTGCCCATCGGTCTGCCTTGCGTTACCACCACCACCTTGGCCGTCGGTGCCGCCTACCTTGCTGAGGAGAAGGCTATCGTCCAGAAGCTTACCGCCATTGAGTCCCTTGCCGGTGTCGACATTCTCTGCTCCGATAAGACCGGTACCCTCACTGCCAACCAGCTGTCCGTCCGCGAGCCCTTCGTCATGGAGGGAGTCGACATCAACTGGATGATGGCCGTCGCCGCCCTTGCCTCTTCCCACAACATCAAGGCCCTCGACCCCATCGACAAGATCACCGTCCTCACCCTCAAGCGCTACCCGAAGGCCAAGGAGCTCATCTCTGACGGCTGGAAGACCGAGAAGTTCACTCCCTTCGACCCCGTCTCCAAGCGCATCACCACCATTGCCACCCACCGTGGTGTCCGCTACACTTGCGCCAAGGGTGCCCCCAAGGCCGTTCTCGCCCTCACCGACTGCACCGAGGAGCAGTCCGCCCTCTTCAAGGAGAAGGCGGCTGAGTTCGCTCGCCGTGGTTTCCGTTCCCTCGCTGTCGCCGTCAAGGAGGAGGATGGCCCCTGGGAGATGCTCGGCATGCTGTCCCTCTTCGACCCCCCTCGTTCTGATACCGGCCAGACCATTCTCGAGGCCCAGGCTCTCGGTCTCCAGGTCAAGATGCTTACTGGTGACGCCCACGCCATTGCCGTCGAGACGTGCCGCATGCTTCAGCTCGGTACCAAGGTTTACAACTCCGATAAGCTTCTTCACTCCGACATGGCCGGCACTTCCATCCACGATCTTTGCGAGCGTGCCGACGGTTTCGCCGAGGTGTTCCCCGAGCACAAGTACCAGGTCGTCGAGATGCTTCAGCAGCGTGGTCACTTGACTGCCATGACTGGTGACGGTGTCAACGATGCTCCCTCCCTGAAGAAGTCTGACTGCGGTATTGCCGTCGAGGGTGCCACCGAGGCTGCCCAGGCCGCCGCCGATATCGTCTTCCTTGCCCCCGGTCTCTCCACCATTGTCTCCGCCATCAAGCTGTCTCGCCAGATTTTCCAGCGCATGAAGGCCTACATCCAGTACCGTATCGCTCTTTGCTTGCACTTGGAGATCTACCTGGTCACCTCCATGATCATCATCAACGAGACCGTCCGCGCCGACTTGATTGTCTTCCTCGCTCTCTTCGCTGATTTGGCTACCATTGCCGTTGCCGTAAGTACCTCGTTCACTCGTCACACCTACTTCAAGTCACTAACACACCCAATAGTACGACAACGCCCACTTCGAGAAGCGTCCCGTCGAGTGGCAATTGCCCAAGATCTGGATTATCTCCATCGTTCTCGGCTCCCTCCTCGCCGCCGGCACCTGGATTCTCCGCGGTACCATGTACATCACCGAGGGTGGTGTCATCCACGACTACGGTTCCGTCCAGGAGATTCTCTTCCTCGAGATCTCTCTCACCCAGAACTGGCTCATCTTCGTCACCCGTGGCTTCGACACCTTCCCCTCCTTCCAGCTGATCGGTGCCATCGCCGCCGTCGACGTCCTGTCCATCCTCTTCTGCGTCTTCGGCTGGTTCTCCGGCGGCCGTGGCGAGCCCGCCTCCCCTCCTTCGCTCAACAAGTTCCTGTCCGAGAACGGCCGCACCGACTTCGTCACCGTCTGCGTCGTCTTCGTCTACTCGGTCGCCGTCACCATCGTCATGGCCCTGGTCTACTACGTCCTGACCAACCTCCGGGTCCTCAACGACATGGGTCGCAAGAAGCGCAGCGTCACCGACACCCTCATCGAGAACGTCCTCACTCAGCTGAGCAAGGTCGCCCTCGAGCACGAGAAGGACGACAAGGGCGAGCGCTTCTACATTGCCAACCGCGCCGTCGTCGAGGAGGGCTAAGCGTCCTTGAGTCGAAGAAGGAAGAGTTCGACCAAAACATGAAAGAAATCAAAAAAATCAACCACAAAAATTAGACATCATGTTACTTGGAGCGCGCGCGCGGCAGAGCAGTCACAACAAAGCGTGTTTTGAAAGGCATCGAGTTTCACAACAAAAAATCCATTTCTGAAATTCATTTTTTCCATATCCCCCCCCCCACCCACTATAGAGAAAGAAGAAGAAGAAGAAGGCGATGAACTTCTTGGTGCGAGGAAGAGAAAGAGAAAGACCAGCCAAAAAGGGAAAGGCGAGGGACACACCAACCTCTAGATGACGCGCTTGGTAATATTTGGCGACATCAACACGACTGTCACTAATGACCCATTTCACGAGCAGTTTTCTATAATGTAACAAAAAGACCATCATGTTCATTGTTGTGGCGTTGATCGGGTCAAGGGTCGGTCGGTTAATTCAATTAAATCTGAACAAGTTAAACAAACTCTTTGCAAGTTCCTTCCATCGTGACATGTTTTCCATCTTTTGAAATCAAAGTGACTTGCTCCTGATGCTGCTTATTCCAATCGTGCCATTATCAAAAGCTGAACATCGCTCCCTCGGGAGTCTTACAATATCCTTCGGCCCGATCTGTAATACAAGGCGGAAAAAAAAAAAAGGAAAAAAAAAGGACAACTCAGATCTACACAGACAGAAGACCCCTGGTCAACCCTGGTGCCCTGTCCGAAAAGCAACACCCCATTGGGGCCCCAAAGTCAAAGTTCAACCTTTTCCGCAACTACGGCTGTTTCTGACCACCAAGGCACTCGGACCGCTTCATGCGTAAGCCGCGTCCCTTCTCTTTTCCTCTCTTCTTCTCGCCATCCACCTCTCCGACTTCCGGTCTTTCTCACGTGTGTTTGTGCCCCCCAAGAGGTAGGTGGTCCATGTTCCCACCCTGGGCGGCCAAGATCCGTCCACCGGCAAACGTTTTTCTCGAGTCGGGACGGAGAGGTGGGTGGCGCGAGAAAGGCGAAAAGGCGAATTCCTTGAGAGAAGCGGGAATCCCGGGAGGAGAGTTTGGGCATGATGGCATTGAGACGTCGGGCTTACCCCTTCCCCCCTTCTTACCCTCTATGCGGTTTGTTAGTCGCTGCTCACCTCACATGTACGACGTCCTGATGGATGTTCCTGATGGATGACGAAGACGATTCTCTTTCCCTTTCCCATGTCCCAGCTTTTTGATTCACGGATCGATCGCTCAAGTCAGACACTCCTCGACCCCTTGAATCCTGCGTTTCCCAACTTCCATCCGGGTCTACCGATAACGCGAGGTCGCCCAAGGTCCGAGGGGTGGGCGGATGGACCAACGTTTGGTCAAGACTGAGAAGAAGCCTTTTTCCCCCTCTAGTCTGTTCTCCGGATTTTCTGCTGGTCCTTCCGAAGATATCATGCGGCTGGATTACAATCTCACGAGACGATATGCACGACATGTCTTGAGACGTTTTGTTAAGCCCCTGAGTTGGTCTTTGCTCAAGGGTCGGCTGCGGTCGTGACTGGCTTGACAAATTGCAAAGCAAGCCTGCCTACTGCTGTCCATGCATATTTTGAAGATTGTTGGAAGAAGTCGCGTTCCTTACAAGTAGAGACCGCGTGGAGTTCTTCTACAGTCGCAGGTCCCGTGAGTAACATATCACGCTCAGTTGATCATCAGAGAAATACATCTTGTGGTATTTGCACCATTTCCGGCTTGATTAGGTTGCTTATTGCGTTGTGCTGCAACTGATATCTGGTTGCCACCCTTGGATCAATAATCGGCTCGATGACGACCAGCGCACCTGGTTTTAGATGTTCTTGTGTCTACTACGAGAGGACGCTTTATGCACCTTTTCGGCCGCGACAGATTTCAGCCATAAAAGATTTGGTCATCCACTTGTCGTTAGACATAGGCGCACAAGGAATGACAGTGCCAGTTAGACTGAACTGAGCAGTCAAGGCCTTCTCTACAATGCACCTTGCCGTAGATGCGGTTCCTTCGCGCAAACCGACGGCATTGTCATTCTGTGGTCTAGGACGTCCAGCCGGCGAGGACATCTCTTCCCTCGTTTACACATACGAGATGGAGAGCATAGACACATTGATCTAGGGACTAGAACACCCGCGACATGTCGTAATTGCTTGACACTTGTCTTGGTCTCGGTGGCCCATACCAGTCCGAGATCAAACAGCTTCTCCTCAGGCTGTGACCTCTGGCGGTGCCAAAGCTCTGGCCTGCGCCTTCTCCCCCGTGCCATCAAGCTACCAGCATATCCCGACGCAGCTCAACGGAAATGGTCGCAAGACTGAGATTAAGCTACGGGTTATGCGTCAGCATGCTGATCATGTACGGCATAGGATCGTCCTTGTAGCGGTTGGAAAATCTATTATCGCTATCGCTGTCATTTCAGTTTGCGCCTAGATTATCAACCCTTTCTTTCCCCTTCCCTTTCTCTCTATCTTAGTTACTATCTTAGGAACACCTTCTCCGCCATTTGATCACGCCTACCACAGCATCGTATCAGGTTGTTGCCGGGTTTTCAAATTTCCGTATCATAGCTTCAACCTGACCAGCCAGGTATCATTGCTCTTCGAGTTCGTGTACATGATTAGCGTCGAGTGCAGTTCCCCTCGGGCCAATTGGTCGCCAATGCCTGTAGTACATCGTCGTAAGTTGTAGACTGCGGGAACAGCCTCGATAGCTGCACCGCTTCTCCGTCTCCCCCCATTTTGCGAAAAATTCTCTGCATCAAATCTTTGCTGTGGAGTTGATGTTTTCCCGAGGTGTCCGAAGTCAATTCTTGGGTGTTTGGGTTGAAAGTCTTCAACAAAAGCAAGGCTAACGACGCAATACCCGCGGATAGTGCAGTAGCCACACTCGACCCAGATACTGTGGGAAGCACATTATTCATGTACGAAGGACCGACAGCTTCAACATTCTCGCCCGGTATCAATATTTGAGCCGACTGTGCTTGAGGGGTCAAGCGACCGTAACGATCAGTTGCGCTGACACTGAAAACATTCTCCTTGTAGCCCACAGGCCAGGCCTCAGAGTTAGGGCCTTCGTCAGGGGTGGAACAAAATATCAATGTGCCCTTCTAGGCTGCCTTCTCAATCGCTTCTCTAAGAGTCTGATTCTCTTTCTTGAGTGTCCAACTAATGGAGATGATATCGACGTCGTTCTCCACAGCCCAGTCAACAGCCTTGGCGGCATCAGCTGGCTGTATGTCATTGCGGCCTCGGCCTACTCGTGCAATGTAAATTCGGCAGTAGCAATTCATCTGGGAAATGAGATGCGCCATTTGCGTGCCATGGGGATCAGAAAACATCCACCATGGCAGCGATCTGTCGCCTTCCCACTGACCAGCAGAGACATAACTTTGACCTTTCGCAATGAGATGGCTGAAATCAGAACGAATCCGGTCGGCACCGTTATCGATGACCGCTATCTTGATCCTGTGATCGTCTGACTCCTCTTTGTTCGATTCGTACTGAGCAAAAGATCTGAGTTGTGACAATCGAGAGTCCCACGTAAAATTGGCTTCATCTTCATTCCCCCATGGCCCGGGTGTGTGTTTGGTATCGAGCCATTGCTGTAAAATGGAATTTTTTTTTTGTTGTTCTATTTAACGCCATGGCGGCAAGGGCGCAGCCGCCCTTGCGGCAGACCTCCCGAAGGGTATGTGGCGTGGAGGGTCGCAGGCTCCAGCTATATACTATATAGTACACGCCGTCTCCTGACGTCCTCCAAATCTTGCTCGTGAGCTACTATGTGTTCTATCCATCCCTAGTTCCCACTGGTGCCCTAGTTCCGTTATAACCATCTGGTTTCTTATTAGAGGTAGTCTGTCGTTTGGAGGATAGGTTATGACCTATCTCCTAGTACCGCGGGCAGATCTTCTGGAAGAAGTCTGTCACGCAGAGGGAGGCCTGGAAGCCTTCAGAGTCAGTGATTAGCCCCTTGAAGTAGCGATCGAGGGACCCTATAGGTCCTACGGGCTCCTGGCGGCTGTAGGGGTAGAGGGTGGGCCACTGTTACCTCCTCAGTAGGGTCTTTCGGCAGTAGACTAGATGGCCTGCCTCCTTAACCCATCCACAGGAGCAGGTGAGTAGTGCTTCTGTGTGGTTAAAGCGTTGGTGATATTGTTTAAAGTCCCCGTGGCCTGACCGTGCCGCGAGGAGGTGATGAAGGGCAGCCCTAGGGAGGCCAAGTTCAGGAGGGCAAGCAAGGGTAGCCTTGAGCCCTAGTTGGGTATAGCGGGGAGTTGCCTCTTGTTTCCACCATCGTCTATATTGGCGTCTTGGCCGCTCTTTAGCAAGCCACTTGATACCTGATAGAGTAGCTAGTTGGCCCCTAAGGACTGGTAGAGTTGTTCCCTCCTTAGCTAGGCTGTCTGCTTCTTCGTTTCCTTTAATACCTTGGTGCCCAGGAGACCAATGGGTTTGTATATCGTGTATCCTAGCTACCTCCTGGATCTCAAGGAAGGCCGCTTGTGAGGAGTCTGTTGTTGTTGTTGTTCTATTTAACGCCATGACGGCAAGGGCGCAGCCGCCCTTGCGGCAGACCTCCCGAAGGGTATGTGGCGTGAAGTGTCGCAGGCTCTAGCTATATACTAACTAGCATACTGCGTACTACGTCCCGGGCAGAGTCTGCGCTTCCGTCGTGTCGTCTGATGACGGACCTACCAGCAATCATAGGGCCCCAGAAGCCGTCCGGACTTTTCAGCTCTCTTTCTTTTGCTTCTCCAGATTCAGGGGCGACTTTGTCCCACATTGTGGTCAACAGACACACTTTAGACAGATTTTCGGTCCCACAAAGCTTGCGGAACATTCGCAAGTTTTTGATTGAGGAACCCGACATTCGTACATCTGATATTCGGTGAAGGTAGACAATCCCTGAAAGTAACGTGTTATCCTATCAAAAGTTAGTTGGAGTACCGTCACAGTCACATCACTGTTTTTGTCACATACCTTGTAGGAACTCTCCAAAGAACAGCTGGCCTTTTACCTAAGTGTCCAAGGCCAGCGCTCCTACAGCCGCAATACCTCCCAGGGTCCTATGACCCTATAGTTACACAGACGAAGAAAGTAGCAGCTAGGATCTTCCAGGCCTGGCTCAAGACTGTGCCAGGTCAGCATACAGTCGTATACTCAGACGGCTCCAAAGCTCCTGACGGGGCTACAGGGTTCGGCTTTGTTATCTACCGCAACAATAAACGTATAGCCCAGGGCTGCGGCCGTCTCGGCTTAGCAGAAGTGTTTGATGGTGAGGCGGAGGGGGCGAGGGCTGGGCTCCGACGGGCCCTTCAGACCTCCCAAGGCCAGCCTATACACATCTGCATCGACAATACCAGCGTTATCCAGGGGATTCGCGGTAAGGTCCCAGACTCCTCACAAGCGGCCTTCCTTGAGATCCAGGAGGTAGCTAGGATACACGATATACAAACCCATTGGTCTCCTGGGCACCAAGGTATTAAAGGAAACGAAGAAGCAGACAGCCTAGCTAAGGAGGGAACAACTCTACCAGTCCTTAGGGGCCAACTAGCTACTCTATCAGGTATCAAGTGGCTTGCTAAAGAGCGGCCAAGACGCCAATATAGACGATGGTGGAAACAAGAGGCAACTCCCCGCTATACCCAACTAGGGCTCAAGGCTACCCTTGCTTGCCCTCCTGAACTTGGCCTCCCTAGGGCTGCCCTTCATCACCTCCTCGCGGCGCGTTCAGGCCACGGGGACTTTGAACAGTATCACCAACGCTTTAACCATACAGAAGCACTGCTCACCTGCTCCTGTGGAGAGGTCAAGGAGGCAGGCCATCTAGTCTACTGCCGAAAGACCCTACTGAGGAGGTAACAGTGGCCCACCCTCTACCCCTACAGCCGCCAGGAGCCCGTAGGACCTATAGGGTCCCTCGATCGCTACTTCAAGGGGCTGGTCATTGACTCTGAAGGCTTTCAGGCCTTCCTCTGCGTGACAGACTTCTTCCAGAAGATCTACTCGCGGTACTAGGGGATAGGCCATAACCTATCCTCCAAACGACGAACTACCTCTATTAAGGAAACCAGATGGTTATAACGGAACTAGGGCACCAGTGGGAACTAGGGATGGACAGAACACATAGTAGCCCACGAGCAAGACTTGGAGGACGTCAGCATACGGCGTGTACTGTATAGTATATAGCTGGAGCCTGCGATCCTCCACGCCACATACCCTTCGGGAGGTCTGCCGCAAGGGCGGCTGCGCCCTTGCCGTTATGGCGTTAAATATAAAACAAACAAACAAACTAAGAAATCCGTCACAGGTGTGTTTCCAAAATGCGCCCAGACTGTCCTACTTTGTTCTGGTTTGGACTGCCGTTTTGCCTACTTCAGTCATGGCCACTTCAACAATTATCAATACCTAACTGTGGATTCCTTATTTGTACAGGAAGTGTCTGATTGGAAAACTAAACAACAAGTTGCACTGCTATACTTGTAGCCGTTGTTATCATATGGCCGAGCAACAGCAACCATGCGGTCAGCTTGCTCTGCTCCTTTTTGTTCTCCTCAAGTTCCCCCAGAATTTTCTTTTTTTCTTCTTCAGTGTCTCGTAGCTCCTTCCGATCCTTGTCATTTTGTTCCGATTCTGTCTTGCTGCCCAGCTCTTTTAGTAGTGTATCATACCTGTTTGCGTTTGCTTCAATCGCTGCCTCCTTTCTCTCCGCGGCCAGCTTTGCCCTTTCCAATTCGTCCCTGAGCCGCGAAATCTCACGACGGTACTTTTCCCTGTTCTCATCATGCAACTGCGCGAGGCTGACTTGCATGGCTTTTTGCCCTTCCTCGATGAGGCGCTGCTGATTCTCGAGTTCTTTCCTTTGCTCGCGCAAGGCCGTCTGCCACTCGACGTCCTGTTCGTCCATGGCAATCCTGTTCTCATTGCGTAAACTCTGCAGTTGCTTTTCAAACATGTCGCGAATCTTATTCAGCTCGCGGTCCACTTCTTGACCTGCCGCAGTGCGCTCCAAACGCTTCTCTTCATCGACGAGCTCGCGCTGGATCTGCAGCGTGGCAGGACCGTGTGCTTGCTTCTCCGTCATGAGCAGGTCGATGAGCTCAAGTACCGAATCACGGTTATACCATCGCCGAACAGGGCTCCCCCTCGCGGCCATTTCGGCCCAGAAGCCACCGTCGCCAATCAACTCGTGCTCCCGTCGTTTAGCCACACCAAAGTCCTCCTTGGACCACATGCTCGTGGCCAGCACAACGTGTTTGTACGCGTTCGCGCCGCAAAGTTCCTTGAACATGCGTAGATTCCGGAGAGCCGAGCCCGTCATGCGGTTGTCTGATATGCGATGCAGGTATATGATGCCCGCCAGCTTCTTGCCGTCCTTGTACATCTTGGACATGCGGGCTGCAATCTCACGCAGCACATCCGTGTCGGCGGAAAAGGTGTCGTCGAAACCCGGCGTGTCGAGGAGCTCGATCCGACCATAGATTTCATGATCGAAGTGGTAGGCGGCTGTAAGCTTCGTTTCTGTCTCACGATAGCCCCGAGTCAGCGTGTGCACGTCAACTAACCAACACAAGAAAGAAACAATAGAATAATAAACAACAACATGGCCCTGCGCTACGTACCAGACTTGAGCGTGTGGCCTATCATGACCTTGTTATTGCTAACAAGTTCAGATATAAAGGTGCTCTTCCCGGCCCCTGTCACGCCCATTACTGCAATGACGGGCCTGGTAGCGAGTTAATAAATGGTGAAAAATGTAACTTGTAAGTCACTGGGAGGGCAAATCTTACCAATCTTCGTCTGGCCCCTCAAAGCCGACGGGAGTGCCGTTGCTTGCTAATGCTTGCGTTAAACTCATGTCGATGTTTGGTGTCAAATGGTGTCTCCGTGTTATTGACTCCTCTGTACTGCATGATGCATCTCTCCACGTGTAATCCGGAAGTGCTTGAGCAGTAAATATATCGGTTTCAATCTCAATTGGTTTCCTCCTTCCGACAGCCTGCTGACCTTACACATGCAATCCACAAGCCAGCCTGATCCAGGCTCTCTTGGTATTTCTGTCTACGAACTGTTGTTCCCATCAGGTTGCGTTTCCGTCCTTGACTGCTCTGCCTGCTTACACAAGCCGAAATTAGGACCCACCACCTATCTTTCTTGAACCCAGTATCGTTACAAGACTACGACAATATCATCTGCTCAGCAATCTCTACTCCTTGAATTCACTCTTTAGGTGTGCGCCACATACTTTTTCTTCACCCTATCGAGGTTAACGGTCAGCATGAGATGCGGCACGGTATTCCACAAGAGTGTGACTGACTACGGAGTTCCCCAGAGTGCATCCGAGCCTTGTCTGTATAAAGCTCACCTGAAGCACCCACCCCTTTTGACGAACGCTAGAGACAAGGCTTATCAGTTGGAGGGTAGGTCTGGTCAGCTGCATCCTGGAGCCTTGTACAACCCTCACGCGCGCCTGTTTATGGGTCGAAGCCAATGAGACAGGCCGACACGGCTACGTGGTGCTTTATCCGAAGGACCTTGAAGGCTAATGTGGGTTCCGGGCGCTAATTACACTTGACTGCATTATGGTTATTCGGGCTGTCATCATTTGCCAGCCCCATGCACCTAGTTACTAGACGAACTAATATATCGAGATACAGTCTGATGTCTTTACAAGGCTGAGCAAGAGTTAACAGCTCATTTCAGGACGGCAGATGGAGCTGGCGGACGATTATACAGAAATAGTACTAGTAGCGTGGCTGGGTTGGGTTTTATTGGCACACACACTGCGAACTGAGCATGGGGTGGTGGGGGGGTGGGTTATTAAGATAGAAGCACGGCGGAGACCCCGTTGTGCCCTCAACCTCCGTTGTTGCCTTGTCCTTGCTAGGTCCTTGAAAACCATTGAAAACGCAAAGACTCATTGGCCATGGTTAGCATTCTTGAAGCTGATGGTTTCTTAAATAGGTAGGTAGGTAAGCAGAACAAGTACTCAAGACCTTGGTACTTATGAGTACATTTAGCAAAGTGCTTGCATAGACTGTATTTCCACCAACCGCTGCCTGAGACATACACTTACATTCACACCCTAGCTATCCGCCTGCTGAGTGGTTTATTATATACAGTCACGTCACACAATTGGACCACTCGACAACGGCCTGAAGAGACCACTGTTAGTGTTGCCTTGCTATCCTGTCCTGCAAACAAGTTCTCGCCTCTCTCTTCCCCAATCTGCAGCTAAGAAAATGCCATCCGCCACAATGCAAACAGTACCCAGCCGATTCCCCTTTATCGAGACATTCTCACAGGCCGTCTCTTCTCAGGAGAGATCCGGCCAGCGCGCAAGCACGCTCATACCAGCAAAGATTCTGGTCAACCTCTCTGGAAATGTCCGCCGCGACCTCAACTACGTCTCCCGGCTGCAGGAGGACGTGGATGAGAAGCTCAAAAGCTGCTCCCAGTACCATACAATCTGGATTCAAGAGGTGCGGCGCGACGCGTCCCAGGCTCTGCTCGACTTCAACTCGTACCTCGAGCATAAAATGCCCGCCAGCGGCAACGGCGAGGCGCCTCCAAAAATCACAAAAGTTATAAAAAACAGTAAAAAGATGGCTAGTCTCGAGAGAGAGCTGAGTGGCGCGCATGCCGGCCTCGTTGGTGTTATGGGCTTTATGCAAATGTTGGGGCTCAAGAGCGGGACCTTGTTGCTCGATCCCACCCAGACTCTGTAAGAATTGCAGACGAGTTTACTTCTGGTGGAATGAGATATAAATTCTATATATTGTATTGAAAATGAAAAGGCGTGGTAAATGGAGAAGAGTCGGGTTTTCTGGGGAGAGGTCAGAACATTTACCTTTAATTCATAATCGGTGGATCAGATTCAATATGTGTTGTCCCCTGTCTCTCTTTCTTTCCTCTTCATAAACATATCACGCAGGCTCTGTGATTCCCTTCTTCTTCTTTTTATCAGTGACTAATTCTGTATTGCATTTTGATGAGAAGATAGGAGACAGAAAGCGATGATTTGTACAAGTTGGGGGGGAAATACAAACGAAAATGGGGATTATCTTCTACTTTTTATGGGTTTATGGGTATGCAACAAATACTTAAATAATACAGACTAGGCCCGTCTAATAATCAGTATTGAATAATGACTTAGAAAGGCAGAATGGAGACTTGTTTCATAGACAGTAGTGACAAGAGAAGCATTAGGCACGAACGGGCTGAACAATGACAGACTCGTGCCCCGGATCTTTTGACCCCGGTTGTATCCTCCGCTGTTTAATTCCGGGAAACACAATCAACGTTTTCTCAGAGGACCTATCACGCAACTCGCCACTAGGCTGCCAAAAGAACCTCGTGGGGTTGCTCTGCTCAAACATGCGCAACCCCAATAGGGTGCCTTTGGCGACGACGTCCACCAGCGAGTGGGCCTCACTTGCTGCCTCGGGCTCAGAGTGACGCAAGAGCAGCGGATCAAGAGCGTCGCGAATCGTCTTTGTTGTCTCCTGGATGGACCGAGACAAGGTGCCGGTCGCTAATGAGGCAGCGGTGGATGTCTGGTACGTTGTAGATACCAGGTTCATTGTCATGGCACGCCAGATATTCTGCATAAGAGGCACGTTGGCTGGATCAAGAGCGAGTAGTCTTTAGTAGCCATACTTGAGAAAAACGGGGAAAAGCTTGAGGTTGAAATGCAGCAACACAAAACTTACGATTTTGCTTTCCCCCAGCCACGATGTCTTGGTATGTTGTTAAGACGTCCTTTGGAAGCAGGCTTGTCTCGGCAGCGGTCTCGGGATTGACTTTATTGGCGATGATACGAGCGATCAGCATTCGCAACGCATTGTACCGGCTTGTTTCGTCGCGTAGCAGACGATGCCAGGGCGCGTCGTGTCCAGCCAGGACGCTCAGCTGCTCGGCAGCGAGAAAGGTTTGGCTGCGAGCCCTACTCAGGTCAATGAGGAGATCCGCGTGGTTTTCGAGGTAGTTTCTGATGCTGAGGTTCCACTGCAAAGCCTCTTGCTCGAACTGGGTATGCGTGATGGGCGCTGGGAGCTTTTCTAGAACACGCGTCAAGCTGTTCAATGACGATGGTACTAAGGGCATGACGCCGCCGCCACCTTGGCTACGGCTGCTAGGCTGTCCTCGCGCGTGTCGTCTGAAGCAGAATAAGCCTAGTGCCAGAGCAAGAAGGGCGCCGGCAAAGAGACAACCAAAAGCCAGACCGACCGCAGGGCCCGTTGCTAGTCCTGGGTCGCCAGGAGAAGTGCAGTTGGGGCCTCCGGTAGGAGCACCGGACGATGTTATTGATGCAGAGTTTGATACAAGAGCCGACGTGGAGTTTGACGTAGTAGCCAACGCGGCGGTTGATGATGGAGAATTCAATGTGGAAGTCGGTGGTGGTATGATGTTCAATTCCAAGAAGCCACCTATTGAATTCCAATTCGTAGTAAATGGAGTGGCAGAGCCGCCGGTGGATGGAACAGCTATCGGGTGATTATTATTGCTAACTGATGGAGCATCATCCAATTTGAAAAGAAAGTTGCACAATGTCCTTTCCGTCGTCGCCGTCGGTATGGAAGTTGGTGGTGCAAATGCGCTCAATGTTAACTGGCCATTTGATACAACCCATTTCGTACTAAATGGAGCGGTAGGATTTGTTACCGTGGAAATAAAAGTGCTAGACGGTGCACCATACAATGTAAAAGAAAGGACGCACGATGACTCTACCGAAATCATCTTGGTCCCTTTGAACTCGAAGTTTCGTTGTAAGGATAGGATTTCGACGAGGAAATCAAGGTATGTGCAGAAGAAAGAACACATACGGGACGCCAGAACAGCGTGAGACTCGGGGGAATCCAAGACTCCCCTTTCATGAGCGAAGCAAAGCCATGATGATCAGGCTGGCCATTCACCATCCTTACATGTTTTTTTAAAAAAAAAAGACACCCGGCTACTAGGGTACATGCATATACAGGCCAAGCAGCTGACACGAGGCTCGATGGGGGGCCTGCATCTTGCCCCTTCCTGCATGTGTGGAGTAACATTATCTTTACTTCTTCTTTTCTCTGTCCCCCTGTCACTGATACCATCTTCCGGTTGTAGCCTCACCAACTTGAGTAACATTTCCGTTCCCTTCAACTCCCCTCACTCATCTGCTGTGGTCAATCCTTAGCTCGACAATGCTGTGGCTCCAAGTTACCTCATGACATTATCAGTAAAACTGATTGACCCGATAGGCAATCGAGTACCCGTGTGTACTCCTGTTGCACCCTCTGATCCCCAGTGTGCATGCCCCCTGTCATGCTACCGTTTCCTCATTCTGCCGCATTTGTACAAGCCCCTAGGCTCTTATGAGATGCGAGATTTTACCGGCCCTAGGTATTTTAAACAATCTTTTTGCCGAAATTCTTTGAAGGGAGAGCTCTCATCACGCACGCGCCTCTATCAAACCACTAAGCAGACATCCTAGCCTCCAAAGGCGGATAGCCGTCTGTTAGTCCGCTGCTTCTTGGTCTTTATCAGCTTTCTTGAATTCTTCACGGGTGTAACAGAGGTATGGATCCAAACCAAATCATGGAAATCATGGAAAGATTCTATTGGCCGCGGCGTGTACACGAGAACCGTCCTCCCGATGTCATTGTTGGCATAGATGTCGGAATGTGCTGTGCGTTTTATTACATCCCCCTTCTCATTATCACAACAAGCCAGTGCTAAATCATAGGATTGTCGTTCCACATCAACAGACACCAAGGTGGCCTACACAATCAGACAGGATGATACTTTTGGCGTCATCAAAGCGATTCAAAATTGGCAGAACATGGGAGGTGAGCAGGATGAGGCAAACTATGTCCCCACCTTGTTAGGTTACGAAAGGGGCCACGACATCATGCAGGATGCACCTCAGTTTGTTGGTTTCCCCCGCAAGGAAGACAAAAGAAACCCAGACTTGAAGTTCTACGAGTGGTTCAAGAGGGACTTCCCTGCCAACCTCTCATCCAAGGACCGTGACCCTCCACCGTTCTGGCCAAGGACTTCTGATGACACCGAGACCCATGTTCTCTACAGAACCTTCCTTGCCGAACTGTACGCGTCCATAGAGTCAGTCCTCTCCCCTATGCTACAGAGGAATGGACTGGACTGGAACCATGCGCAAATCGAGTTTATATTCAGTGTGCCGGCCACCTGGAACCGACCCAATGAGACCTTGGGCATGGTTGCCGACAGCCTAAAGATGGTTGCCAAGGAAGCGAGGTTTGAAGGTGAGAGACGCGTTGTCAAGATTGGAATGACAGAACCCGAGGCTGCCGCGGCGTATGCTCTCGCCACACATGAAGATTTGATAAAGGTAAGTCATCCCAAATCATACCATGAAAACTAATGAGCCGACATTAGGGGGATGTGCAGAGCGGAAAAACCATCTTGATAGTCGACGCCGGTGGTGGCACCACGGTCAGCAGCTAACCCCCTTTTCTCCGGAAATTCTTTGTTGATTGTTGAAGTCTCTTCTGACAGACCTCATCATCTAGGATCTCTGCTTGCTTAAGATGGAACAGTCCCAAGGCAAACAGTTTGAGATGGACCCGTTAAGCGCCCCTATGGGAGAAGACTTGGGCGCCACCCATATCGATCGCGGGTTTGAAGATCTGGCCGTGAAAAAGCTGACATGCCTTCACGAAGAGGCGAATATACAGAAAGAGTGGAACTTCAAAGAGATGGCTCGAAAGATGCGCGATTCGTCTGAGTTCCAAAACTTCAAAGAGTTGTTGAATCTGGACAAAGCCAGGAGCGACCAATTCTTCACGGTACCACTACCGGAATCTAGTGCCAACGACATGCCTCAGCACGCACAAGTCTACGGGGTAGTCAATGCGTCAATGAAATTCAAGTGGTTGGTGATGCTGCTGGCCATCCTCCAATCATTTCTTCTCCCCCCGGTCCAAGAACTAACTAAGAGCGATTCTCACAGGAGCGAGCTAGCTAAGATCTTCGACACGGTCATCCAAGACCGACAAGTCATCCGGAAAGGTCGTCCTGAAACGTTGCCGGGCTTGAAGAAGCTGATCCAGCGAGCGCGAGACGAGTTGCGGTATCGCGGCAATAACCATGGTGGCTCCAGGTCACCGAACAATGCCACAGACGACGTTTCGGTTATACTGATGTCCGGAGGTCTCGGCCGATCCGAGTATATCATGCAAAGAATCACCGAATACCTTTCTCAACAAGAGGACACTATCGGCCCAGCGCCAGAAGTGCGCATCATTGGGGAACCGCAGTTGTGTGTATGTAAAGGCCTGCTGAAGAACAGGCTCTACACCATCTTTCGGACGCAGAGGTGCAACGGCAACTACGGCATATTAGAGTACAAACCGTACAAAAAGTTTTATCCGACGCATTTTATAGCCAACCAAGCCAACCATGTGAAGAAAATAGGAGGTAGTCGATTCAAGGAAGAAGTCAAGTGGTTAATCCAAAAGGCAAGTGAAGATTGATTCAATAGTGCTTGGTGCGGTTCATTTCCTGACCCCCTTTTGACCTCCCACTTCTGCTTATACACACTGACCGGAGATTCAGGGTGAAAAAATTGTCGAGGAGCCTATCAGGTATACCTGTTTCTTGGAACAGTTCCGTGAGAATAATGAAAAGCCGCATATTACGCTCATAGTCTCGGAAGACTCAAGAGGCCAGCGGTTTCCCAGTCATGGCAAGACATCTCTATATCCAAATCCCGAGGTGTGCGATGATGGAAGGAATTCAACGCTAACCAACGCGTCATAATAACCAGATGACTTTCTCTGCAAGATCGAGTTCGACAAACCACTAGATTACAATCCAAAAGTGAAGAAACTTTACTGTGAGGTGGAACTGATATTCAATGTCGCATCTCTCATGGTGAACTGTTGTGGGTCATTCCTTGCCCAGATATATTCCATTTATTTTTTCCATTGGCTAACCAGGATATCCAGGGTCACCAAGTGAGCCTGGTAGGCGAACACTTGTTGGGAAATACAACGGAGATTACGGTCACTTCAGAGCGCGAGAGTCCAGATGATGGTTACTTTATGGATCAAGTATCGGCAAATTTGGAGTTTATGACGCGAATGGACGTTTGTAGCGCACTTATAGCCTCTTTCGCGCTCGTGTAAGATCGTTGCTATTACTGGCTAGGTGAATAGTATCATGACCTGTCCTCTCAGCTGCATCGGCCCCAAAGCCCAACATCCGACAGTCCATTGATTCATGGGGTAAAATGTCTAGCACCGCGGCTTTGAAAGCTTTTCTGGGTTAAAGTGCCGTCAAGGAAACAAAACGATAGGGTGTGAGATTAGGGAGCAATCTGACATATGTTCAAGATCCAAAAATACTTGTCACCCAGATGTATTGGCCCTTGGGCGATGAACCGTTCAGGCTCGTAACAAAACTGACGAACGAAAACGTAGACGAAAATACTCACTTGATATGACATGGAGAAGGCTGGCTTGATGTGTGGCAGCCTTAGTTCTCATTACTCTTGTGCAGGCGGGTCCATAAGGTTCTGCTTAGTTGTTTGATTGCGTTGTCTGCATGTACCACTATTTACGGAGTACTGCGCCCATCTTACGCATTCAACCATTGGAGGATCCAGCTCTCTCGATATTGATGTCACGGAGCAAATGCAGCGGACTTGGATTTAGAGATGGACATATGTACCTAACTACTTCTATCCTTATCCGTACATTCCCTGGCCTCCGGCTAAGCCTGGTGGAGATCGGCTCCCTCATGCATGTCGGTTGCCCACCCTCCATTTCAAGGTCTCGGCCCGTACATGGAGCCTCGCGACCCTGTCAACACTAAAATACATTGTCCGTATGCTGACTATGATTGGTCAGCCTGATTTCAGGAACCCTCCTTGTCATAGATACGAGTTAAGAGCTAAGGCTGCCGAACGGCCTGCAGGCGACTGTGCCTTAGCCACCTTGTCACCGAGCTGCACATTGCTACATGCCTGCCGCCGTGACAGAGTCTTCAGGGGGTGCTTTGCCTGGATATTAGCGCAGAGGTAGGTGGCGTTGGACATTTTCACATCACACGTATGTACACTTCGCAATGATGTTAGCTGGTGTTACTTTGTAATGCTGGAGTCCCGCGGCTCTTTTCTTAGTACTAGGCTATGCTATAGCTCTCTGCAATTTAGGTCTAGAAGCCACGGAAATACTAGTTGTTATGTTTCCTGGCAAATTCATATCCTCTTTGATAACCTCCGTGCAGACCCTCAGTAGTGCCACGCGCTCTTTGCTCTGTCCAGGGATCATTCGGCATCAAACGCACACACATACGCCTCTTTTACCTCGACATAACAGCGATAATAAACTCAAGTAGTACACCAATACTCTGGTTTTACATTATCGTCGTGCTTTTGCAGAGACCCTTCTGCCTTTCTTGCATTGTCTGTATACATGGTCAAACCAACTATGGAAGAGGTCAATCCGAGAATGGAGGACGACAACCTCTCGCAATCGAGTCCGCCCACCGAAACGGATCTATCATCAGTTCGCAATGGCCATGAGCCAAGGGAAACAGACATATTTCTCGCCGTTTTTGGAGTGACTGGGGTCGGGAAGAGCTCCTTCATTTCCCACCTCACCACTGACAAGAGCAAGCCCGAGGTCGGACACAAACTGGATTCCTGTGAGTTCAAGCAGCCAATAGCCACAGCTTGACCACCGATTTTCTTGTAATTACACAGATTCTGATGTCCTGTACTCCTGTGTCTAGGTACCCAAGATGTGAAAGTCTACCAGTACGCCTATTCGGCCACTTGCAACATCTATCTCATCGATACTCCCGGTTTCGACGACACATACAGGACAGACAAGAGCGTCCTGCGGTCCTTGGTGGCTTGGCTTTCTTTAACTTACAAGAACAACATCCGTCTTCACGGAATTCTTTATTTGCATCGCATCACCGATGTGCGAATGCAAGGCTCCGCCAAGAGCAGTGTGACTCTGTTTCGTCAGCTGTGCGGGGCTGACAACCTCAATCGCGTCGTTCTTGTTACCACCATGTGGAACAAAGTCGACGACGAGGTTAGCGTGTCAAGGGAAAAGGAACTCGTCGAAAACAAAGACTTCTGGGGATGCATGGTGCAGAAAGGAAGCCGTTTCGAGCGACACTACGACACTGTCGAATCCGCCCGAAAGCTGATCGACATCTTCCTACCGCAAGACCACGAACAGTCAAATGGACCACCACCACAAATGGAGCTAGCGATTCAACGTGAGATGGTACATCAGCACAAGGTTCTCGAAAACACCTCGGCCGGACAAGAAGTGTGCAATAGGTTGAACCAAGAGGAAGCAGAAATCGAGACCTGCATTGCGGAGTACCATGCGGAAATGCATCAAATACGGGAAGAAAGAGGCCTCAACATGCTTCAAGAGCTTGAAGATCTCGAGAAGCAGATCAGTGTTGCCAAAAAGAGGAGTGAAGGAATTCTATATCACAGACAGGCCGAGATGAAAAAGTCGATGGAGACACTGATAAGGGATAATTTCGACAAGGATGACCTGGAGCCGGACGAAGAGAAGAAGAAGAGGCTCGAAGAGGAATACTTCCCGGGGGGGTTTGATGCGCAATCTTACTACCTTGAAGGCCCGACGTCTACAAGCACAAGCAAACGCAATAGTCAAAGCAGCAACCGGTCCAGTTTCCTTAGCCTTCACCGAGTTGGTTCCCCAGGCGCTTCGCAAGGAATGGGACAGCGGTGGTCTAGCCGGGACCAGAAAAACATCCGCGTCAGCATGAGTCTACGGGGCAAGTATTGCTCCCTCCTTGGCCCTCTGTACAGCAAGTCGTGAGTTCTCACTAGTTCGAATCTCTGTTTACTACTTCTCTCTTCTACTTCCTTTTCCTTTTTTCCCTTTTTACGTTCTTTTGTCTTTCTCTTTTCATCAACGTTAGTGGACGGGAATCAGCTGACAGTATGAGGAAAGTTATCTTCCACCATCCACAAGAAACAGTGTGGTGAGGTTGCAAGAATCGAAGAGCATTCAAATGATAAACATCATCCTTGGAGAGAATTCATCATACTACACCCATTACCACCAAGGACGGGTATTTAGAAAATGCTTTTGTGAGTGCTCTTCAGACAATATCTTTGTCTTACCCCTCCCGGAAAATGGATCTTGGAAGCAATCCTTTTCTAACCGAACCCAACCTCCATAACAGACCACGGATCTCTACGACACACGTATCCGGAACTATACAGCTTCATCGGCAAGGATAGCAACACCAGCTGCCCGACTGGAATCTCATTAGGTCCACAGGGAAGTTACTTCATCAACGTGGCCGGCAGAAAGTCCATGCACTGCCACCCCAACGCAATCCTACCTGAAGGCAGTTCCACTCAAAATATTAGACGAATATGGTGGGGTGTTGACGGGTCGTACATCCTGGAGCGAGAAGACGGCCAGCTCCACTGCCAGTTGCGCGGAAATTACGGCGGTCTCGAGAGCGTATTGTTGGAAACAGAGAATTGCAGGGTCAAGGTCAGTACTTATTTAACACTAGTATCAAATCGATGAATATCGTGGCTATCGGCTGACCAAGAACGATGGGGTACGGAAATATATAGGAACTTGCTTTGGACATTGACAATCCCAACGCTTTTGCGCTCATTACGACGGAGGGGTCCATTGTTAATGAGGGCTCGGGCAACGTGGTGTACAGTTCTTTTGGGGAGTTTGCAACGCAGCATTTCGGATCTAGGATGATGAATGGAGGCAACTATCAAATCAATAGCCAGACTACACCAGCTATCTACGAGTTGCCCTAAGTGAGTCATGTTTATAGAGCTAAAGCCTTTTTAACCATTATTTCCTTTATCACTATTTACTGTACATTGTTCTAGCAACTTTAAATTAGAAATTATTCTTTATATTCATAACACCTATAGCTTCTTAAAAGCTCAAAAGGCACTTTTGGTGAGAATGGCTGTTTGGAATGTCACGCAACTTCCCTACTACACACCTACCCCACGGGAGCCACTGTTAGTGCCCCGCGGGTCCCCCCACGTCATCCCTAACTACGCCGCAAACAACCGAGAACACGATTATCCTCAAGCCCGCGATGGCCCCCGAGCCTGCCGCGGCCCCCCCCTCCGGAGGGAGACCCGATCCTCGGTCCCCCAGCCCCTTTAGCACCCTGCCCGCTCCCCCGCGCGAGGCCTCCCTTCCGGCCCGGCCCCCAAACGCGACTGACCCTCAGGGAAGTAGGGCCCCCCCCTCCAGAAACTTAGCCTACCAGAAGGTGGTAGCCCCCAGGTCTACCTAACTAAGACCGGGCTGGCCCTGGTCCTGGCGAATAAGGAGGCCCGCGACGTACTCATAGAACGGAGCGAGGACCTCCGGGCCTGCCTCCGGGCCGATACTATCGAACCTGCCGAGAAATGGTTTCGCTACCTCGTCCCTGACTGCCCCGCCGGTTTCAGAGACCTAACCGGGGCCCGCATTCCCTTGGAGTCCCAGATCCGGGCGGAGGTCAAAGAAAAGACGGGACGAGACCTCCGGGACTGGAGGATTACAAAGGCCGGGTTAAACCCCGCTACGGACTCCGCAAGCGTTATTTCATCCTTCCTAGAGCCGGTCCTTGGGGGGTTCCGGCTCTTTGGACAATCCGGCCCGGCCCGCCTCCTCGCTCAAAGGAAGCCAGCCGTGGCCCTCCACCACCCTGGTTGCCAAGGCTAACACGATAGCCGCTTCCATAGGCGGAAGTCCCGGTGCGGCCACTGCGGCAGCCCGGACTGCTCGTCGGTGGGCGGCCTCGAACAGTGCCCAGAAGCCCCCCGATGCGCCAACTCCTGGGGCCCATACCCGGCGAAAGCGCTGGAGTGCCCGGCCAGGCCGCAGGTCGACGGCAATCCCGGTCGGTCCCTGACGAAACGGGAGCTCCAGCGTATTCGCAAGGCCGGCGCGGCGGCCCCCGCAGCCCCTCGCCCTCCGTCTCCGTCCGGGACACCATCATCGTCAGTGCGATACAGGCGCGGCCCACTGGCCCCTCTCCGAGGACCGACGGGGGGCCCCGCGATGCGGGCCAACAGCTGGCCCCCAGGAGGAGACGGGGGCGGTCAGCTTCCCCCCGGGGGAATAGCCCACTGGCCTCTTCCCTTCCTCGGACTCAGGGACGAGAGCGTCGCCGCGATATTGACTATTACAGTGGTAGTAACTACCCCGGATACGAGGACGAGGACTGCGTAAATGAGTCGGTCTAGAACAGCACTTCCGGGCCGGGGCTATAGGTCATTCTCCCACTACTAGCGGGCACCGCTTACTATCGTCCAGTGCAACGTAGGTGTTGGAACAGCAAAGGCTGATAAGGAGTAATGGGAAGGTACCATGGGCTGGCTGGCACCTGCCCTGGGCGAAGTGGGACAACTGGCTTAGTCATCACGGCCGGATAAAGGTGGGGCAACCACCCAGGCCGTCACTACCTACTTCGACCGACTCCTGCCTACAATGTAAGATAGAACAACAAAAAGAAGAACAAGCAATAGGATCACCAACAGACGAGTGATAATTGCTACCACTATTTGTCGTATACAACCCCGTGAACCAACAGTAGGGAAGAGCTCCCCGGCCTACACGGCCCTACTTTAAGGGGCCTCGGAGCATCGGGCCGACGTAGTAATGGTCCAGGAGCCCTAGGTAGGGTAGGACGATACCGGAGAGGGCCGTCTTCTTATTAATAACCACCCCGATTTTACAGTATATACCCCGGTAGATTACTGGGATAGTATAGAGACCCGACCCCGGGTCATAATATACGTCCGTAAAGGCCGGCGGGCTATCCAGCGCCGGCCGGCCCCGAGCCGTAATATCCTATGGTTAATCACGGTAGGTATTAATATAACTAACGTATACCGGCCCAGGGATGGGGCCGGCGAGACTACTACTACTCTTCTAGGCTATAGGCCCCCTCCCGACTTAGTAGTCGGGGGGGACTTTAACGCGAGGAATGAAATCTGGGAACCCGGAGGCGGTAATACCGGCCTCGGGCCGGCGATTGGGCACTGGGCCCACTTATATGGCCTCGACTATATCGGAGAGCCCGGGGTCCCGATACACCTCCAGGGGCACGTACTGGACCTTACGTTCTCAGATATCCCTACGGCCTACGCCCAGGTCTGGCCCGACCTACACCCCGGGGCCGACCATGAGGCCATCCTCATTACGGTCGCCCCACCACCGGCTCTGCCTGAGCCCTCACCTCGGGGATACCGGGTCCCGAACGACCTCCTGGGGCGCTTCGCTGATACGGTTCGCCTGAGGCCCCGGGTGCCCGTTACAGCAGACGCGGGGCCAGGAGCGATCGAGCAGGCCGCCGTCCTTCTGACGGAGACCCTGGGGGCGGCCCTCCGGGCCGTGGGTAAGGCTGTAGGGCCGACTGAACGGGGAAGGGCAAAAGGGGCAGGGTGGTGGACCACTAACTGTAAGGAGACCCATGACCGGATACTGGAGGCCCGGCGTCTAAGGTCCCGGGTACAACACCTTGCGTGCTAGTATAACGACTGCCGATACTGCCCCGAGGTGGAACAGGCCCGACGGGACTTTCTTACTACCGTTCGGGCTGCTAAGTAGGCCTTCTAGAGGACGAAGATTGAGGGGGCTAAGACGGTTCCGGACCTTTATAAAATCATGAGGTGGCGCAAGTCCGGGCCCGGGCTCCGGTCGCCCCCCCTCCGTACTGCGGAGGGGCTAGTTGACGGGCCGGAGGATAAGGCACGGCTACTCCGTAAGGAAATCTTAGACCGGTATAGCGACTCGGACGACTTCTCGAGTCCCGAAGCCGTGCTAACGGTCCCGGCGGGCGAGGCCTTCCAGCTCACGCTGACTCGGAGCACCACCCCGGGGGCGGACGGTATCTCGGTCGGCCTCCTTCGTGCGGCCTGACCTCATATCGGCGAGGCAGTCCGTGCCCTGATTAAGGCCTGCCTAACATAAGGATACTACCCGAAAACCTTCCGGCTTGCCGAGGTAGTCTTTATCCCGAAGCCGAATAAGAAGGACCTAGCGGAGCCTAGAAACTACCGACCAATATCTCTATTATCGTATATTAGTAAGGCGATCGACCGAGCCTTAGCTCGGAGGCTGGCCTATATAGCGATAGCCCACCGGGTAATCCGTAGTTAACACTTTGGGGGCCTCCCGGGCCGCGGAGCGGCGGACCTAGCGGCCTACGCGGCCCACGATATCGAGTTAACGCTCCTTAACCGCCGGGTAGCGGCACTTTATATACTAGACGTTAAGGGGGCCTTTAACGCAGTCCTTCCGAACCGCTTCGCCGTTCGGCTCCGGCAATAGGGGTGGCCCCCGTAGGTAGTCTCTCTAATCCGACACTTTATAGTCGGGAGGTCCGCCTAGGTCCGGTTTAAGGGCTCTACCTTAGTACCGGCACCGCTAGTATGCGGGCTGCCCTAGGGATCACCCGCCTCGCCGGTTCTATTTGCCCTATATATTGCCGAGGCTCTCGGGGAGGAAGACTTTGGCTATACTGACGACGTAGTATTAGTAGCGACTAGGGAGATAGAGGCCGATACGGCCGCAGAACTAGGGGCCAGGGTGACGTCCCTCCTCCGGTGGGGGGCTGAAAATAAGCTCGAGTTTGACCCGAAGAAGTCGGAGGCGATATACTTCTCCCGGCGGGCCCGGGCCACTAGGCATAACCCTCCGATCCGGGCCGGCGACCGCGTAGTTACTCTATAGGCGGAGGTACGGTGGCTAGGGATCTATTTCGACCGTACTCTCTCGTTCCGAGGGCATGTTGCCCGCCGGGCAGCAGTAGGGCTTAAATGTGCCCGGTTTCCCCGCGGACTGGGGGCGGTCTACCGGGGACTACCCCCTCGTCTAATATAGAAGGCCGTCCTTACTTACGTTCTACCCGCGGCTTTCTACGGGGCCTTAGTATAGTACGCCGGCCTTTCTAGACCTGGCTAGAGGCCGGGCTATATAATAAGTACCCGCCGTAAGGGCCACGTACACCTAATCGATCGAGCAGTCCGGGAAGGCCTACGGGCTGTTCTCCTAGTATGGCGGACGACCCCGGTAGACCTAATATACCGGGATACCGGGATCTTAACGGCCTACGCGGCCCTTAAGAAGGAACGGTATATGTTTACGGCCCGCCTAGGCCAGTTAGATCCGTACTACCCGCTCGTCGGGAGACTATAGGCGGCCCCCTGGGGCCCTATAATAGGGCTTTAACGGACCTAGAATCTACTTCCAAAGTACTATAGGCCGGACCTCGTTATGCCGGGCCCCCCGGGCCCCGCCCCGCAGCCGAACAAGGCACGCAAGGAGGAGTTCCTTAAGTGACTAGAGGACCTCCCGCCGGACGACGTAGTCCTATATACGGACGGGTCCGGGGATAAAGAGGGGAAGATTAGATATAGCTTTGCTATATATACTAGTACTAGCACTACGATCCTAGCCTAAGGGGCCGGTAGGTTAGGGATCGCAGAGGTCTTCGACGCCGAGGCCGAGGGGGTACGTGTCACGAGTTATGGCACGCAGCAATGGGCATATGAAGTGGGTTAAAGTGGCTTGAAGTAACCCATCTAGAATGAGCACATGAGAGCAGTCTATATACTAAGAGAGTGTGATATCCACGTGAGAAAGCACGTGGCAAGATGCTTGACAAGTGCTGATACCATTCCTGTTTCGTGACAGTACGGCACGGGCTCCGGGCGGCCTGGAGGGTGGCACCGCAAGGAGGCACTATTCATACCCGGCTTGATAACGCATCGGTAGTTGACGCCTTAAATGGATACGGCCGAATGCCCACCTCGTCACGGGAGGCCCTCCTAGAGGCCCGGGAGGCAGCCCGACGCTGGCCGATTAGTTTTGAATGGATACCGGGACACAAAGGCATCGCCGGTAACAAAAGGGCGGATCTCCTAGCTAAACGGGGGGCGGAGCTAAGCCTCCCTATTCCGACCCCGAGGCCCACGGAGGCGGGAGTACGGCGGATCGCGAGGCGTAGGGCCGGTAGGGTCTTTGCCGCCTGGTGGGCTTTACTAGAGACAAACAAGAACCGGGGCTATGCGGACCCGCAGTTACGGGCCCGGCTCGGGCCCTCCGCTGAGCTAGACCTCCCCCGACGCCTCCTACACCACCTAGTAGCAGCCCGGTCTGGGCACGGGGACTTCAAGGCCTATCACGATCGGCTCGGACACGAAGGGGACCACCGGTACCGCTGTGGCCGGACCTCGTCTAGGTCCCACCCGGTCTTCTGTCAGCGGAATAGACGGGTCCTAGAGAAGTGGCCGGTAGCCGGCCCGAAGTCTGACCCCGGGCCGCCCCCAAACGGGGACCCGGATATCTACTGGAGCTCGCTGCTCCGCGAGCCGGCAGCCTTTGCCGCCTTTGCCCGGGCGACCGGGCATTATCTATAAAGGGGAGGTAGCGGTAGGATCCGCGGGTGGGCGGGTAAATGGGGGAGTATAGGGGCAGATGGCGAAGGTAGCGGAGGCGGGGAGACATAAAGTTGTCTATATAATAATTCCCGGACCCCTGCTCCGGGCCGGATACCCGGGGGGGCCCCAACTGTATACCGGGGGCCTCCCCGCAGAATGTACCGTAGCGAACTACGGGCCCCGGCCTCAGCCGGGTCCCCGTACGCTATATACCCCCAGGGAGGTGCCGACCCTTGAGGCTCGGCGATAGCGTTAAAGAGCAAAACAAACAAACAAACAAACAAACGAAAGGATTGGACATGGATGGCGAGTAGGTTGGGTCGAAGCGAGTAGGCTTTAATTCAGCACTGGGCGATCATAGGGAAGCAGGATCGTAAGAGAGCAAAGAAGCCAACAGTTGTGGTCGCTAAGGTCTGGTTGTATTGTATCATAACCCCTTTCTCCATTATCATATCTCTCTCTTCGTCTTGCTAGGATTGATACAATGCTGAAAATAGTCTCACTTTAAGTCTGACCTTCAGCTCGCGATAACTCATTGGAGGAGTACTCGAAGTTTGACCGTTTGCGACGAAGACTTGGTCTGAAGATTCTCAGCGCCGGGGGCGTCCGCGGAGCGAAGTGACGATCCGACAGTCAGATATTGAGGAGGGCATCGTGAAGGTCAAAGGGCTGCTTCAGCCACCAACGCGGGTGAAAGTTGTACTTGGTCAACTGGAGATCGTCTGTCTTTACGATTTTGAGGATCGTATGGGCGCATGGTAGCAACCTCTCCATTCTAAGCCACTTATGACTATGGATCTACGCCAAAGGCAAAGTGCCTATCATATCATTCCATCCCTCCAGCATCTCAGCAATACTCTCATGACGATTCTTTCTTGCCATGGTGATCGCCGTGTTCCCATTGCAATCCATGATGGTCGGATCTGCACCAGCATCCATTAGAGTAACCACAATAAGTTCATCGCCACGGCTAACTGGCCAGAACAGAGGCGATCTACCCGCGATTGACCGGGAGTTCACATCGACATTTGTTCTGTTCGTCAAAGGTTTGACGCCTTCCTGAATCAGCTGTTCGATAGCCTGAACATCTCCTGCTTTTGCTGCGGTGTAAACGTGCGCGATGGTACGCCATTTCTCCTCAATGCGGACGGTCTTCTGAGATGAGAAGTCCAGAACTTGGGTTTGACCACACAATTCTGCAGCCTTAACCACCTGTTCAATGATGCTGATCTCGTCTCCTCGTCGGTCGAGAAGTAATCCTGTTACTTTCTCGCAATTCTGCCGGTTCGCTGCAGCCTTTATGTATAACCTCCTTGGTCATGGTGATCTGGTCTCCCTGTTGGTCGAGAAGTAGTTCAATCACTTCTTTAGGAAGCCCTCCAGCAGCTGAACATCACTTCCTCGCCATTCCCCCTGTTCCCCGCTGCAGCCTTCACCACCTCCCTAGTGATAGTGATTTAGTCTCCTCGTCAGTCGAGACATTGAACAATGTGAAAGCCTTTAACTATTTTGCTTTCAGTTGCAAGATCAACGGAGAAAAGGCATAGAGGGGAGCAAAGATATTGGATTTTGTTTTGAGAAAGTATTGATTCAACAAAACGTTCACAGGGTTTGGGATACACGCCTGGGGCTCACAGAAGTACAGACATAGGTGATGACAAGAACAGGGCATTGCGAGACAGACCGAAAATGGCAGTAAGTAATCTGTATACCGGATATTACAAAAATGGAGAAGAAACACGCGTTGAGCCTTCAAAACCAACTCAAACGCCGTAATGAACATAGGGAACCCATGTTAGCGTGCCCTGCACTGTATCCGTGGTTAAGACCGCATCCCGTTTCTGCTTCACCCCCGAACTTTCTACCTTCTTAATCTATTAGTCTTATTGTTACGACCCAACATGAAGACCAGGGCGTGCCCCGCTGACGCCTAGCGGCTACGGCGCATCATATATGCAGGACGGGACGGAACATTGGGGAAACCCCAGGAACGGAAGAACTATGGTACAAGTCACGTGATGATAAGAGATATGATAAGGGATAAGGATATGTTGGATATGCGACATATCCAACCGAGTCAAGGATATGTTGGATATTCGGCATATCCAACATATCCAGACAAAGTGGACTGTACAGCACTGTTCAGTTAGGATCGGACTTGTATATAAGGATGGACTCGAGCTGGGCTCTAGGACAGACTTTCCATAGCTCTTCAGCAATTAACTTCGTATCAGGATTAACATCCGCTTTCAGCTACTACCTTGACAAGACTACGATTGATCACCGAAGCCTTACCTACCCTTACGATTGACAGACATAGTTTCCTTGAAACTATTCCACGACTACGATTACTGTTACCAGTTCCGCAGCCTCAACTTCTGCAAACTACCCCTACGACTAGCTGGCCGTAACACTTATAGCGTTCTTATAGTATAGTAAAGCCTATAAGCTACCAACCTATTATTAAACTACTTCTTAATTATAAACTTATTGTTACGAGCTGGACAAGGCAACCAACTGTGGCACAAAGCAAAAGCTTCGATAATGATGACTCCGGTCATCATTGTCCCTTGTTCTGCATATATAGCTACGCGCCCACAGTGACAAGTTGCGGCGGGCGTAACACTTATATATTATCTATATTAATTCTATATAGTTATACGTTAGTGCATTATTAAGTTCTTAAAGTATACTTATTATATACTAGAACTCTGTGTTACGGCCAGCTAGTCGTAGGGGTATGTTTGCAGAAGTTGAGGCTGCGATACTCAGTAACAGTGTTGTTCGTTCTCGTGATGTAATAACCAGATGTAATAATCAATGATTATTACACATCGCGGGTGGATAGCTTCCTAGAAGCTATATCTGTCAATCGTAAGGTAAGGTAAGTGTTGGTATCACAGGCGTGATACATTTCCTCATGAGGGTGTATCTTCGGCAACAATCACGTCGATGTCCGTGATAATTGCTGTTGTTGTTCTTGTTCCTATTTACATTGTGGGCAGGGGTCGGTCGAAGTAGGTGGTGACGGCCTGGGTGGTTGCCCCACCTTAACCGGCCGTGGTGACTAAGCCAGTTGTCCCACTTCGCCTAGGGCAGGCGCCAGCCAGCCCACGATACCTGCCCATTGCTCCTTATCAGCCTTGCCGTTCCGACAGTAAGGCTTCGGTGATCAATCGTAGTCTTGTCAAGGTGATAGCTGAAAGAGGATGTTAATCCTGATACGAAGTTAATTGCTGAAGAGCTATGGGAAGTCTGTCTTTGAGCCCGGCTCAAGTTCATACTATATACAAGTCCTGTTTCTGAACATATCCTTTGTCCGTAAGTTTTCTCAACGGGTTCCGTATTCTGAACATACGGGGTCCGTATCTTGAAATGATGATGATGATGATGATGATGATGATGTATTTAACGTCTGGTAACAAAAGGACGTGCCGGGCGCTATGCCGACATGGTCTATGCTAATCTAAATTATGTTACAGGCTACCGTCTTCACCTAACGTTCCTGTTCAATGACTCGGGCAAATTTCGGAAAAGAAATTGGTCTCCTCTATCCATTCGCATAGAAGAGAGGCTCCCTTAGCAGAACCTAACAAGAAATCAATGCTTGCTTTGGCCATACGTTGGCGGAGGTAGCGCGGTGTAGCCAAACATACAACACCAGGTATTCGCTGGTCGTCACCGACCCAACTACTAATCCGGCCCTCATTGGGCTTATCTATGGACACTCAGCATCATGAAGTTGGTGTAGGTTACCATCACCGGGTGACGATGGATGTCCCAGAATACGGAACAAGGATTATGCATATTTTAAACGGTTAGGTACCGTTTTAGTCTGAGCAGCTCCGTCGTCCGACGGCCAGCACTAATCGAACACCTAGACACCCCACCACCACAAGTACCCAGCCCGCCCGCAACCTGCTTCCAAGTTCCAACTTTCAAGAAGCACTTTTTGAGCTCTCCATTGAGGGTGAGACGTAAGCGACCCGTTCTGCGACCATTACCGCCAACCCTCTGTGATGCATGCATGATTGGCTAAGTTTTCGGACTCAACTTGTATGTCACGTGTCTTCGGCACGTGACACATCTCAGCTCCCTCCTTCCATATCACGAGCCTTCGCGTTTAGATACTCTCCTCAACAACAACAACAACAATAACAAGAACACCAGATTAACCCAACGATATTGCTACCGATCGCGATATCAGGAATACCTGTGTGACTAACCTGTGGTACACGCAAACCAACAACAATGAACAAGAGACTAACACGGTTTTTTACGGCTCGAACCATTTCAACCTAGTCGATACCACAACCCGACGCGAAACTTCGATCCTACAAGCCTTTTTGGTCTCGCCCACGTCAGCCCATGCGCATCTGCTATCCCATTTGTCCCTCAGCTTTCCTACACTTGAGGCGGTAGAGAGACGGTCCGAAGCGCTGGGGCTTACACAGGATGGGACGCGCACCTTGAAGCTTCTCCAAGACTACTGTGTCAATCTTACGACGTTGGAATTTTACGTGCACAAGGAAAATGCCTTCGGTCTTGCTGGAGAAGCCCCTAGCGATTCACAGTCCTGTCGTCAGGCTTTATCGCAAGTTGGCGCACAGTTGAAGGCTATTCCCTCTCTGAAAAAAACTATTGTCAGGTATTATCATGACAGACCGATCCCTGAGGTGATGCAGCTGATGCAGGGCCTTGGGTGGATAGTCCTGATGGGCGATAAGGGATTACCATGATTGTTAGAAGCTTGTGCGCATGATTACTCTGCCACACCTCACTTTTCAAGGCCATGAAGAGCATGTGGTTCGCCGAGATCATGTACGGAAAGAGTGCGAAGGTACTTTCGTTATTGGGCATGGAGGGGGATTTCTGCGTCTAAGACTGTTAATGGGGGCATCAACTAGTACATCATCTTTTTGGCCTCAATGTTCACGTTCATCACCATCACTGGCATCATATCTGCCATGAGCGATGGGTTCATTGGTACTACAGGAATCAAGGGTGGTAAGTCAGACCACCATATTACTTGAACCACAATGGTCGATGTACTATGTTCTACTTTACCCAAAAACTGTGTTCGCGTTTGTGAGGGAATGCTCATCCAGTGAAGAGTATCAATTAGATGCCCTTCGATAGGACGAAATAGAGCCAAGGATGGTAGTATGCCTCGTCATCTACCGGGTCTAGAATTGTTGGGAGATATTTTGTACGCCACTCTTCTTGAGCAGCATCACTGAAAAATTTCGGATTGAGCCTCACCCGTCTCGCCTTGCAATATTCCCAGTACGCGGGAAGCCACCCCGCCTGGCCCCAATCAATGATAGCTGCCACTTTCGGATTGAGCCCCAGCGACAAGACGACGTTGGGCGGGACGAGATCATCGTGTGTCAGTACAATTGGCGCTTCGCTATCAATCTCGATTCCGCAAGCATCTTGAAACTGCTGAACGGCATTTGAGCCTACGAACGGCCCTCTGAGATCTGGGTGGGATGCCAGGAATATCTCGTTTAGTGGTTGCTTGCCTAGGCTACCTAAAGAATAAGACGTCATATTAGAATTGCTTGTAAAGTAGAAACGAGATAACCCACTCACCAATAAATCGATCGTGACTGTCTTGCTCTAAGGCTCGCAGCGCCTTTACCATTTCTTGGAGTTCTTCACAAACGGCACGCTTCTCGTCCTCGTTCATGTCGCACCATCTTTCTTGCAAAGTCGCACCCTCTATCAAGGACATATAAATAAACCTCTGCCCGCCATCCTCTGTCCAGCCAAAGATCTCTGGCACGGGGACTTTGCCTTGCAGTTGCTCGTGCACCATCTTCTGGGTCTGAGCCTCAAGAATTGTGACGTTGCTGCCGTACTTGACAAGCAATCCCAGCGATGAGAATGTGACAGGTGGTGGGCGATCGAAGCTCGTAGCACGAATATCATCCGACTCCTTGTTGCGGGCTCTGACCTCAGCTGGCGCAGGAAGCGTAAGCGCGCGTCTCTGTCCGAAAAAGCTCGATTCAGGAAAGATTTTCATCTGACCAGGGACGGATAATCCATCGAAGCTGATGATTGGAGGAGAGGTATCTACAGTCGACATCGCATGTGATGGCATAAGTGGTGGTCAAGGATATCCGCGACTGCGTTGGACGTCTGTAGTTGGTGAAGTGAGTTTGCGTACATCGACACAACTTTGTGGGCCACCATGCCCCACATATATATACACTGAAATTGATTTGGTCAGTGCGTCGCGTGGACACGCGATTTCTATTTGTTCAGGCTAGCAAGCTAATCTCTGAATCGAATTATGGGTCCGAATATGCCCGTGAGCGCTACCGTTAATGGGCACAATGAGTAAGTAAGCGTTTGCAACAGCAAGTCGATGTTCTTTGTTACGCAGCCGCCGACTACCGGAAAAAAACGATAAGCCCTGCGGCCCTAAGGCTCAATTATTGGATCGATGATCTAGCGCGCGCTTTGAGGCAATACCAAGCACTGGCTTTGGAAGCAGTTTGGAGAGCAAAACGCACGCATATAAAGATGAAGAAAGAATCAAGAATCAGTGATTGGAATTTGATTGCAATGCAGAAACACATACCGCAATCTTCAAGAAATTCTACCCTCAATCGTCATGCCTTCTTCTTTTTCCATTACTTCCAAGACCGGCGGCGCTCCGCCGCCTCCTCCGCCTCCACCGGTTGTCAAGAAAGCCCCCACTCCACCTCCAGCCCCAAAGCCGCCAACTGTGGCCTCGAAAGGCCCTCCCGGAGCCTTTTTCGTCGAATTGCTGGTGTACAACGGTTCGCCCTTTAAAGACCACTGGGCGTATTTTGTGTGCTCGCACAGAAATCGTGACATCGGTGTTCTGATTCACGCGACTGGCGACGTAAGAAACGGCTTTAAATTCGAAATTAAGCGAAGCCATGACTTCGACGCGACCGGGAACTATCCTACGACAAGGATTCCGCTACAATGGGTGAATGCACAGCATTTTGATGAGAAGGCAATGCTCAACCATGGAAGGCACAAAATCGATACCGTGCCTGTCTGTGGTTTTGAGGCCAGTGTAAACAAAGCGAAGGCTCCTGGGAAGACTCTAAATTCGGTCGATGACATGGTAAGAGCTTTCCTTGCTCTCTTCTCATAATCACAACGATTTACAATAGATTGTCTTGTGACTGCTTCATCACAGACATCTCGAAGTTGTTTCGTTGCAACTAAACCTCTCTATCATATTACCCCTAGCACCATCACTAACAGGCTTTCAAGACCAAAACAGGCAAGAAAATCTGTTGGATTCACAGGTGGAAAAGGAAAATACTCGAGTATCGTGGGTAGCAACGATCACCGACTGTAGTGGTGATATTGCTTGTTCTTGTTGTTCTTCAGTGGAAGTCTAACCAGGTGCCAGCGGCGGCAGGAAGTCTGGGGTATACCACCCTCGTGTGGCTGAGCCACACGGACCACCGTGGCTGGAACGGACCGCGGCAGCAACCTCCTGCTGCCTAATGTAGGCCTATTCCAACACATACCTTAAAGCCGGTCGGGATCGGCTTTGTTGGTATTGTTGTTGTCTCTAGAGACCGGCCTGTAAACCGGACCATAGCCTCATCAACGGTAAGATCGGAGCCGGCCGTAAAGAAGAAGTCTCAGGTTTCCTGAATGTAGACCGACCACTCGTTGACCTTCCGGTATACGGCCGGCATCGGGCTTTCTCCGGGCTGGCTCTGTTGGTTGGCCGAAGGGTCAAAGATACGGAGCCGACGGAGCAGTATCTGGAACCGGTTCCGGGATATAAAGCGAGTAAATGGATGAGTTGGGTTTTCTTTCTCCTGCTGAGTTGACCAATATCTTGAGATTTGATATTCAGGGTGTAACCCTATATAAATAAGAATCCCTAAGAAGAGGTACATCTCAGCTGTAGAAGTATCCCTCCAATGATGCATCCGAGAGCTTGGTAATTGGGTGCCTTCTCCAGACGGTACTCCGGTATTCGTCCAAGAAGCCCACCGGTCAACAAGATCTGAGGGTATATACCGGAGGAAAAGATCAAGCGGAGTATCCGGAAGCTGCTGTATCTCCGGAGGCCGGGCCGGCACGTCGAACGGGCAAAAGGATCCTGGCCGGCCCCGGTCAAGAGCCGGAGGTTCGTTGGGCCGGACAGTGCTGTTATCGCACCGCTCCGGCGTACAGTCGTCGGCACAAGCAACAGCAAGGTCTTCCGGAAGGACTTCAACAATAATAGTGCTCCGTACCGAGCCGGCCGAAGCTCCGGAGGTTCCGGAGGCCCCGGAAGCGTCGGATTCACTCGAAGGCATCGTAACCTTAATGAGAATGTGGGAACAAACGGCAATCGCTAGGTATACACGGAGCCGAGCTATGTCACGTGTCTTCGGCACGTGACACACCTCAGCTCCCTCCTTCCATATCACGAGCCTTCGCGTTTAGATACTCTCCTTAAATAGAGGAGACCAATTTCTTTTCCGAAATTTGCCCGAGTCATTGAACAGGAACGTTAGGTGAAGACGGTAGCCTGTAATATAGTTTAGATTAGTATAGACCATGTCGGCATAGCGCCCGGCACGTCCTTTTGTTACCAGACGTTAAATACATCATCATCATCATCATCAGATACTCTCCTTAACAACAACAATAACAACAACAAGAACACCAGATTAACCCAACGATATTGCTACCGATCGCGATACCAGGAATACCTGTGTGACTAACCTGTGGTACACGCAAACCAACACTGATCAGTGGTTTTTTCAATCACAGATTAGCCAGGTATTTGCATTACCTACAGAAGAGACGTTTACGACCCCTAGGTCCTTTACGTGCTAATCAAGGCATCGTCGGCCCCTTGGCCCACGAGACCTTCACTTTTCCTTCCGACCCAGCGGTCCGTCGGAAAAGGCGTCCTCAACGCTGCCATCGTTGGCCTCGCGAAAAAGCTCTTTCTTACGCGCCAGTGCGCCTTTGGAAGAGGCCTCGCCCAACGTGGTATTCCTTTCACCTACTACCTCGAGACGCGAAGTACGCGTCTATTTGTTTTTATCTCCGAATCCAACAAGCCTCATATTACATTACTATCGCCAAAGTATAAGCAACCAAGATGGCGCAACGACCACCATTATCGTCATCACCAGATGTTCTTCCAGTCCCCGATGGATTCTACCGCTTCATCGATGACGCCAACTGGGGCATCTACGACCAAGAAAACTCCCTCCTCCTTGACGAGCGCGACAGCAAAACAATATGCTCCTACATGGCCTACAAGATCGCCACTTGGCTCCACGATGGCCTCTTGGGCCATGAGCTCTGGGAGGCGTTCCAGAAGGACTTCGCGGACTGGGACGAAGCCCTCTTCAACGCCGTTGATACCAGACCTTTGGGAATCCTCCGCGATCACCTTCTCCATCACGGCGTCTACATCAGCAAGGGACACAGGGACCAGAAGATTGCTCCCAACCTCGTGGGGATCCTGGAAGAAGAACACTTCCATCCCTGGACCGACGATGAAGTCGAGAGCCTGAGAGCCAAGTCCTCATACTTCGACAAGCTAGTTGACAACAATGACGAGTTCCTCAAAGATATCCAGCGAGGATATATCACTCCTGAACAACGCCGCCAGATGCGCGAAGAGCAGCAAAGACAACATATCAAGAAGGAGCCGGAATTCGACCCTGAACTGGATTTACAACTCCAACAGATGGTCCAGAAGCAACTTGCCAGGAACGACCGTATCAGAGAGCTTACAGAAAAGAGCAAGAGCCGCTGTTCGTCACCTCATCTTTCTCCCCGTCAATCACTGCTTCACCAAACGATACCTCGTCCATCTTCATCACAACAGCCTCGCTTCCAGCAAGGCCGAACCGGCTTTCAGAACGACCTTCCGCCCATTACCGGCTTCCTACCGACTCACGAGCTTCCCAAAGAACCGAAACACACACAGCGCACCCCTTTCCAACCGCAATCCCATAGCGACGACTTCCATCGGGAGCGGCAATGGTTACATGAGAAACCCCCGTCCCGCCCTGCCCAGAATCAGCTTCCACAGCTACTTGCTAACCTCACAAAGATAACCACTGACGACATGAAATTCAGCGGCGAAATGTACGATGTATTTGACCTGAAGTTGAATATCTTCCGCGATAACTGCGATAAAGTGGGTATATCGACCCATCACGACCTTAGCCTTGCCTTCTCGACGATGCTTCGCGGAAAGGCCGCAACATTCTACTTCCATCGAATTTGCAACAACGGCCCCCGTGACTTTACTGTCATGGTCGACAAGGTCCGGCAGCACTTCGAGGGGCAGGAAAGCCACCAGAATTACCTCATGGAGTGGCAGTCGACCACTTTTCACCGCATGGAGCAAACTAACATAGGCAAGACCAAGCTTCAAGTGTTGGAAGCCCTCATAACCCGCCTGACGACAATTCAGTACGCCCTTCCCCGGGAGTACCATACTGACGAGGCTCTACGTCTTACCCTTCTCAACGCGTGCGCAGACGTCCCCGAATGCAAGCTGTGCTTGTATAACCCATCATTGACGCTCGAAGGAGTCGTCCATCAGCTTCGTGCTGCAATCAGCACTGAACTGAGGATCCAACAACGACCCGACCAACAATACGCTGCTAACCAGACCGATAACCAGCATTGGGTCGACCGTACCTACCAAGGCAACGGCAGGAGCAACAGATTCGGCCGTGGCAGCAGCGGCCCTCCACGAGGCAAATACACCTCTGACCGCAAGTGCTATATATGCAAGAAACCCGGTTGCTGGTCGACAAAGCACACAAAGGAGGAACGAAAAGTTGCATATGGCAAGTTCGAGAACAGTCAATACGTAACTGACAACTCCTTGGCTGCGTACAGCAGCTTCCTTACGCAATATGAGGGCAACGAGCCCTTTGACGACGATGATGATCAACCTTATCACAGTGAAGACGAGGACCTTCGTCAATACCTCCAGACCACGACTATTGACGAAGACCACACAACCCACGATACCTTCCACATCAGTACCACATTCTTCGGCGAATCGGACTTCAATGGAAAGACCATTATTTATTTCCTTGCGAACCAGTCGTTCCGTCACCAATTGATCAAAGCCGACCCTTGCGAACCTGCTAGAGAGGCAGCCCATCAATTCACACTCGACCGATACTCCTCTGACATCTTTCAAGGTATCTTGCCGGATACTGGAGCAGCCGGCCACTCCACGGCTGGTCACCTCCAAGTCTTGGCCCTTCGTCGCATATACCCAAGCGTACGAATTGACCCATCACGGGCCGGTGAAGCAAACATTCGCTTCGGTAGTGGTGATCCCATCGCCTCGAGTGGTACTATCATGGTCCCTACACCATTCGGACCCATCGACTTCCACGTGGTGCCCGTCAACACCCCTTTTCTCCTCTGCTTGAGAGATATGGACCGGCTTTTCGTCCATTTCAATAACCTTACTAACCAACTCATCCAGGGTAACGTCGTCGTACCTGTTGTTCGCAAATGGGGGCATCCATTTATGCTACTTGGCCCTTCTGCCGCCGAGCAGACCATCGCCCATTGTCACCTGACCGGCATCGAGCTGCGGCGCCTTCACCGCCGTTTTGGTCACCCATCTGTTCTGCGACTCTACAAAGTTCTCCATGAAGCCGGCCATGACGTGGAAATGTCAGCTCTTGAGCACCTAGTCAAGTACTGCCACCAATGTCAAATGAACGGGAAGTCGCCCAACCGCTTCAGATTCTCCCTCTGCGACCATGACAACGGTGCCTTCAACTACGAAATCATCGCCGACATCGTGTACCTTGACAGCAAACCAGTGCTCCACATTATTGACTCTGCAACCGCCTTCAACGCCGGCCGATGGCTGAAGGACATCTCTGCCAAAACAACATGGGAAGCCTTGCGCCTTTGCTGGATCGATGTCTACCAAGGACCTCCCGACTGGATTGTGGCAGACGCTGGGCGCAACTTTACGTCCGCAGAGTTCCGCCGCGAGGCTCGCGCAATGTCAATTGAAATCAAAATCGTACCCGTGGAGTCACACCACAGCATTGGCAAAGTGGAAAGATACCATGCAGTACTCCGACGAGCGTACGAAGTCATCACAAAAGACTGTCCGTTGCTACCAAAGGACGTAGCTTTGCAGGCAGCATTCAAGGCAATCAATGACACAGCCGGTCCCCAGGGCATTGTCCCAACCTTACTTGTCTTGGCGCTTACCCGCGTATGGCTGATGACTCACCCCCATCGCCAGACATCGTCCAACGCGCTGCCGCAGTGCGCAAGGCCAGCGAAGCTATTCGCAAATACCACGCGACCAGGCAGGTCAACGAGGCACTGGCGACACGCAACGGCCCCGATACGGCTGCGCAGAAGGCGCTTCCAATCGGCTCACAAGTCCGCGTCTGGCGCGAAAGGGATGGCTGGACTGGACCGTTCACACTGCTCACTGTCAACGGCGAAGACCTCACGGTTGATGTCAACGGACCTCGGACCTTCCGGTCTACAGTGGTTAAACCATACCATCACGAGGAGGTCACCGACGGGCCAGAACCTGACGCCGGCGCCGTCGCTGAGCTCACCACTGGTCCCCCCCACCCCTCTGGCGAATCCCCCGTCGATACGTCCCCTGGAGAAGAGCCCTCTGACGATGTCGCTAACGCTGAAGACCATACAGAAGATACCATCGTCGTAGCTATTGGTCCACGGAAGTCACTCCTAGCTACTACGTTACCGCTACCGCGTAAACGCGGCCGCCCCTATAAGCACTACGTATCTGCTGAACGTACCTTTCTACAAGAAACCGACGCCCATATCGATGAAGACCCTGATACTGCTTTTATCTCCGCTAAAGAGAAGTCTGACCTTGACCTTGCGATCAAACTACGCAGGGAAGGCGTGCTGACTACGCCCGGCGAGCCATTCGAAGCTTCGGCAAAAGCCGAGATCGAATCTCTGGTCAGCCGCGGCGTATTCGAATTCATACCTCGCAATTCCATCGCACATACCAGCCGAATATTCAAATCGCGCCTGGTCAACGAAGTCAAGGGCAAGGGCACCGATCAGCCCTATGAGAAGTCCCGACTTGTAGTCCAGGGCTACGCTGACGACGAAAAGTTGACGATACTTACACAGTCGCCCACTATTCAACGCGCTAGCCAGCGTCTCATTCTCGCATTGGCGCCGTCTTTGCTCCATAACGACCGCCACGTACTCTGGCTCCGCGATATCACTCAGGCCTACGTACAATCGACTTCACCTCTTAACCGCGCTATATACGCGCACTTGCCGCAGCAAATTCGCCACCAATACCCCAATGGCACCATCATGAGGGTTGTAAAGCCCCTGTATGGAATTGCAGAGGCAGGAACCCATTGGTGGTCCACCTACCATCATCACCACAGAGAAGCTCTCCAGATGGATACGTCCACATACGACCCTTGTCTTCTCCTTTCATCGCCAACTAATCCAGACTTTGCTCTCATTGGAATGCAAACTGACGACACAATTGGTCTCACAACTCAACCCTTTTCCATTAGAGAGGATACTGAGCTGCAGGAGGCAGAGTTCACTGCCAAACCAAAGCAGCACTTGACTCATGATAACCCCCTCATCTTTAATGGCGGCATCATCACAATGACAGGCACATCCCTCGTTCTTCGACAAAAGGGACAAGGCAGCAAGCTGCAACTTATAGACAGCAAGTCGCCGACGGCCCAGCAAGACTACGTCCAACAACGTGCTCGAGGAGCATACATTGCCTCCATCTGCCAACCAGAGGCCTGCTATGATATGTCAGCAGCCGCTCAACACAAAGACCCAACCGAGGGTGATATCGAGAATCTCAATCGGCGCCTACAATGGCAGATGAATTCCCTTGACCGTGGTCTCACCTTTATCCCATTGGATCTCTCAACGTCCAAGCTCTTCGTCTTTGTTGATGGATCATTTGCCAACAACCAAGACCTCACTTCGCAACTCGGCTTCCTTATTGTATTAGGCAACGAGACCTCTACCCCTGACCTGGACAACGACCACTTTACGTTGGACGCCAACATTATCCACTTCTCGTCAACCAAATCAAAGCGTGTGACTCGCAGCGTGCTTGCCTCCGAGGTTTACGGCATGGTCGCGGGCGTGGATATGGCATACGCGCTCTCGTCGACACTGGCGATGATCATGGACAAACTGGGCCACCCAAAGATACACACGGTGGCATGTACCGACTCATACTCACTATACGAGTGCCTTGTCAAGCTCGGAACCACCCAGGAGAAGCGGTTGATGGTCGATATCATGGCGCTTCGGCAATCGTACGAGCGACGAGAACTTACAGAGATACGATGGATACGTGGCAGTGATAATCCAGCAGACGGACTTACCAAGGCGTCGCCAAACAAAGCCCTGGAGAGACTTATTTCCACAAATACCATTACGATCAAAATGGAGGGATGGGTGACACGCACCTAGGCAAGGTGAGGGTATCTGGAAGATAGAGAGCATAGTGAACGCGCTAGAGATATGGGGGTTGGGAGGAACCGCATGTGCGCGATCAATACGTCTTATTGTCGCCTAGATATCTACAGACCCTTTTCTTCCACAAAAGAAAAGATTGCCAGTGTGGGAACAAACGGCAATCGCTAGGTATACACGGAGCCGAGCTATGTCACGTGTCTTCGGCACGTGACACACCTCAGCTCCCTCCTTCCATATCACGAGCCTTCGCGTTTAGATACTCTCCTTAAGAACAACAACAGAACACCAGATTAACCCAACGATATTGCTACCGATCGCGATACCAGGAATACCTGTGTGACTAACCTGTGGTACACGCAAACCAACAGAACCTAATCGGGTGCTTCTATCTCCTCCGCCACAACTGGGAGCTGCGTGCCTCCAATGCCATTGACGGAGGCGTCTTTGTCGTCTCTGGTCGCACCGCCGCCTACCGGACCAAGCTCCTTAAGTCACCGGGGTTCATGGACAGGTTCTGCAGGGAGCGTTTCTTCTTTGGTCTTTTTGGCGGCAAGGGTCTTGGTCCCGACGACGACAACTTTCTCACCCGCGAGGCGTACCAACATGGCTGGAAAATCAAGTTCCAGCAGACCGAAGACAGCGTGGTTGAGACGTCGCTGGGTGACGAGAATGCCGTCAAGTTCCGGGGCCAGCTGGTCCGCTGGGCGAGGACGACGTTCCGGAGCAACCCGTGCATGTTGAGGCAGGTAAGCGACGTCTACACCTGGCGTATGCCATACACCTATTTCGCGGTATACGCAGCTGCTCTCTTCAACTTTGCTCTTTTTTGGGACGCAACGCTGTTTGTGTCTCTGTACCTTTCATGGCATACCAGGGGGCTCTTCACGAATGAAATGGGCCTGCTTGCGCTTTGGGTCTTGTGGACCAAGACCATCAAGCTCTGGCCGCACATCCTCCGCCACCCCTCCGATATCCCCTTGATACCATGCCAGATTCTCTTTGCTTACGCTCACTCGATCATCAAGGTTTGGGCACTCTTCACATTTTGGGACTGTGCTTGGTTGGGTAGAAACTTGGATGCTGTCGACGCTGAATCCAAGGAGTTGAAGAGGGAACTTGATAAGGACTTTACCTTCGCGTAATTGTTTACGTACTGGATCTGACACTTCACTGATTTCAAGGGCGTTTCTGGAGAGTCTCTTGACAAGTTTGGTTCAGGAATGCAGCTAAAGGCAGACCTTTAGCAACGCGTGGATCAATGTGACTACTCTTGTAAGTTCCTCTCTTAATATCGCAAGGATACTTGTAATCAAAATTTCAGGCCTCCTGAGTAAATAAGTAGGCAGCAATCTATTTCCTATGGTTTATGTAATGTGATCCACGCAGCCAGCAGGCATTTGCTTGCAATGTACTTTGAAATTCTTGGCCCATGTCTCCAATTACACGGCAGCTTGCAGAGAGCTGTCGCACGATGAAGTTCTCTTCCCGAGGCTGTAAGAGAGAAAATAACACGGTTGCCGCGATGTGAAAGAGCCACTTCGAAATAAGCCAATGCATTGGGGTTGTCATCCAACCAAGTATCACATAGCCTTCTCCTCACCTGTCGATCGAGTCCAAAACGGATGCGTGTGGCTATTACTTGGCCAAAACCTCCGGACTAGCGTAGCCCCACGAGCCCCAAACCATCACCAAAGTCCCTTTCAAATGGCGGGCGCAGCTCTCAAGTCTGCCTGACATCTCCACGCAGCCACAAACTGTGTCCCAGGAAAAGAGAGCTACCCACTAGCGACCTCGTCCTCAATTGGCTTGTTGTGGCCAACTGGCACTACGCAAAGTACAGAGTACAGATGCGTGCCTAAGAAGGATTCGAACCCATGCAGATCGGCAGTAAGTCCAGGCATGCCATCTTCCCATTTTTAGGATTTCGGGACGTTTTCCAGCCCTGTGGCTTGACGCTCTTCTGGGCATGTGACCGTACTAAGGAGTACACTGGAATACCTATTTCAGACTGTTGGCTGTTAGTGGCTTTGCTCTTGGCTGTGTACGTGCATGTAAGACATGTACTTCCACTCTGTCACTTTGGATGATGCCATGGTTTAGGCACCATCTTAACGAGCTCGTCTTCATATAAGTTTGCTTCCAACCTCAAGATTCAAGACATCTTTCACATGTTGATTGAGTATCTTCAAACGCCTTTCATAACGCAACCAAATCAACCAAAAGCAATCAAACACATTCATCACCACAAACCACAATGTCTTCAGCAGCCAGAACCGTCACCCTCCGACGCCTCGAAATCATCGCCTTCCCGCCAGCCTTCATCCTCCTCCTCGCCCACGGAATTGCATCCGAGCGAGCCTTCCCGGCCCTAGGTCTCCTCCCACTAGCCGCCTCCGCGGTCCTCGGCCTCTTCGTCTTGAACCGCGATGCCGTTGCCGCCATCGGCTCCCCGATACAAGCCCTCTCCGAATCCAACATATTTTGGGCTGACTGCCTTCTCGCGGTCTTCCACCTCTCGTTCCTGATCCCGAGTTGGATTCTGTTGACGGATAGTATGAGATGGGAAGAGTCCCTCATTGTGTTGGGGACATATTGCACGGTATTTATGATGTTTGACTTGTAAGTATCCTCCTTGATCCGGAGTCGAGTGGACGTTTCAACTTTGAAGGCTAACACTCTTCCTTAGGGGCGTTCATCTGTACATTGTTCTGCCGCAGGCTATGCATTTTCTTGTCAGCCGCAGCTGTGACTGCCCCCACTGCCGCAGCGTCACCAAGACGGGATACTTCTCGTCCACCGTGTCCGAGTACACGCCACTTAGCGACGGCGATGAGCCAGAGATCGTAGCCCGAGATCTTGAAGAGGGCAACGGGGCCAACCGCATTTGAGGCGCTTTCCTACAGGAACAAAGTCGGATCTTCATTTCGCTCTCTAGGAGTAAAAAATGATCAGACTCCATGACAGCCTGGTGGGACAACACATCTGCGCCTCTTTCCACTTGACATGGATAAACATTACGATCGATAATAGATATCCCCAAAGTTTCGGAATAATTGTCCACTGATGAGACATTCGACTTTTAGAATGCGATTGCAGAAAATCATTCACCCCTCCTGCAGATCGCGTACTTACCTACCCAAAGTCCTAACGAGGGCCATGATAGGCAGACAATGAATCTAGCGCTGACGGCCAAGTAGTCGACAGCCCATCTTCAATCTCTCGATGCATAGCTTGAAGATGACGTGATTAGTGATACTGAAGTATCCAGACTAGTTCCTTCAACTCAAATGTTGAGGCCCCAACAGCAGATTGGATGATGATGACAAGGTTGAAACCTTGAATGATATCCCGCTTTCTTACGTGCTTCATACTTTTACCAAGATCAGAAAGTGAGGGGAAGAGTACTTCACCCAATCCTGCTTGGTTCTTTCTCCTTTCTTGAGGCAAAAGTTCGGCGGAAAGGCGAGCGAGAACGATGTTCAAAGAAGTCAAAACTTGAGAGGCGGCGCCTTTAAAATTCCCCCAACCGCGTCCTCGTCTCCTGCTAGGTTTTGGGATGACATTGGCGTGGGAACCCAAGATCCGCCATCACCTCAACTCCATCTACCTCCTCTAAACTTGGGCAGGGCTAAGAAGAGCTCTGCACAGACTACCATGATGCTATCCCCAGACCTCACGAGCCCAGTTGGGTTGGCTTATACTGACATAGGTTTGATCCTGATTCTGGTTACCTATTGTTGGAACAGCAAAGGCTGATAAGGAGTAATAGGCAGGTACCATGGGCTGGCTGGCACCTGCCCTGGGCGAAGTGGGACAACTGGCTTAGTCATCGCGGCCGGATAAAGGTGGGGCAACCACCCAGGCCGTCACTACCTACTTCGACCGACTCCTGCCTACAATGTAAGATAAAAAAACAAGAAGAACAAGCAATAGGATCACCAACAGACGAGTGATAATTGCTACCACTATTTGTCGTATACGACCCCGTGGAACCAACACCTATGTAAGTGTTGTCGTCAAGCTATAGTCGAGATAAGCCTCTGTCTTGTGGCTATGTTGCATGGAAAGCTGTTCTGTATTCAATTGGTATTCAGTAACCAATTCTTCCAGACGATTCACACAGCTTATACAAATACTCTTCGACACATGCCAGGCCCCTGGCACACTCTCCTCACCCATCTCCCCTTGAAATACCACGTCCTCACTGGTCGGCGAATGTACTACATCCACGCGCTGCACGCCTCTTACGGATTCGTGGTCCGCATCTCTCCCCACGAAGTAGCCGTCGCAGACCCAGCAGGCTTCACCGCAATCCATCGCATCGGGGGTGGGTTCCTCAAGGCGCCGTGGTACGAGGAGTCCAACGCGCCTGACGGGGGCGAGCCGAGCATCTTTGCGATGCGGGATCCTCGGAAACATGTTATTCGCAGGAAACTACTGGGCAGGGTCTTCACAAAAACTTCGCTCAGGAAAGAATGGGAGGGCGTCGTTAGAGAAAAGGTTGAGATGGTTGTGGGTAAGATACGTGGAGAGGCGGAGGGAGGGGGGTGCTCGGATGTGTTGAAGTGGTTCACCATGATGGCGACTGATGTCGTGGCTCACTTGTGCTTCGGGGAGTCTTTTAATATGCTGGAACTGGGCGAGGTAGGTCGTTCTCAATTCCATCTTACACTACACGCTCCGGTGTAGCATACGCGTACTGACGACAAGACGAAAGAAAAACGACTATATGAAGATGCTGGAACTTATCTCGGTCCAAAACATCATGCGCTACGAGCTGCCCTGGCTGCACTTCATCCGCTCCCACATACCATTCCTAAAATCGTCGATAGACCTCGTCGACGCACAAGCTGTCCTCGGCAGCTACGGTAACCGAGCTCTGGAGAGTCTACGCCAGAACAGTGATCGCGGCAGGACGCTATTCGCGACCTTGTTGGACGCCCTCGACGCGGACAACACCGGCGACGGTGAAAAGAACGCCGACACAAACATGAAGCTCACCGAGGAAATGGTGCAGAGAGAAAGTCGAAGCATGATTATCGGCGGCTCGGACACGACGTCAATCACGCCGGCGTATCTAGTCTGGGCGGTTGTAAAGCGACCTGACCTCAGACTAAAGTTGGAAGACGAGGTCGCGGGATTGAGCCCTGACTTCGACGATAATGCGCTGGAAAAGCTTCCGTTGCTCAACGCTGTGATTGATGAGACGTTGAGGCTGTACGGCGCCGTTCCGGGCCAGCTGTCGAGGTCGGTGCCAGCGGGCGGCGCTACGCTCGGGGGATGTTTTGTACCCGACGGAGCCACGGTGGAGACGCAAGCGTATACACTTCATCGGGATCCGGAGGTATGGCCGGATCCCCTACGGTAAGGTTCTCTCACTGGCTTTACAGATGTGGTGGTGCGCTGGGAAGGTCATCGCAAAGAAGCACCCAACTGACGAGACAAAAGCTTTGACGAGACGCGATTCCGAGACCAAAGCAAACTCACTCCAAACCAGAAACGCCTTTTTTCGCCCTGGGGCGCCGGCTCACGAATCTGCCTCGGCGTCGAGCTCGCCAGAATGGAACTTAGATTGGCCGTGGCCGTGCTCTTTCGGGAGTGCAGGGGGTTGAGAATGGCGCCTTGATATGACGGATGAGATGATGGAGATGGAGAACTTCTTCATGATCAGCCCTGTTGGGCACAAGTGCGAAGTGACTCTGCCATAACCCGCTGAAGATCAAAAAAGAAAAATCGGTGGTGGCTTGTAGTTGCGTAGAACGTGGCTCGGGGTTTCCGGATCGCGCAATTTGAGATCGGCATTGGACAATGGGCAGAATTTTGGGAGATTTGACTCATGGCGATTAGGTTTTCAGAATGTCATGCCACGATCAGTTGCCGCGATGCGGTGTTTGACAGGTTTTGAACCGTTTGGTAGATCTTCAAGATGTTGATCCATTTGAACCTCTACTAAGATCGATCTGTGTGACGCAGATCCCTATCAAGATGCTACCAGTCCGTAACATCATCAAGAACCCCCTCGTCCCTCTCCCGGTCTTGGAGGCAAGATCCCGTCTTGGCCAAGACCTTTGGGAGCACGTGGGGATGGACCCTTTCTTTCAAGTCTCCCATTTCCGCCCTTTTGTCACGGACATTACTAGCTCGGCGCAAGTTTTTTATTGCCATTCTTCCAGAAGATCTTTAGAAGATTTTCAGATGAACGACTCATGCGTTCGCCTCCCTGTTCCCAGATTGCAACCGGCGCGTTCTGGCCACTCACAAATCTCTGTCGGATCCGCCCACACCGCGCTACAGCGCTTTATACCTCCGTACCCGCCGGCGCAAATGGGATGGACCCACAGCATCCCGTCCTCCGCGACCCCGGACCCGCCCGCCTCGGCCAACTTGGGAGAAGTTCTTACGTACCTGGAATCGCCATCGCTCCATTTCTCACAGCTTTTTCTGCGAAACCGGAGGTTGGATAGCGTGTGAAGCTTCGTGACTGTGCTTCTTGATGCGTTGTGTCAAACCGAAGACATTTGAGATGCCTTCAAGACTCTCACTGCAGGAGGTACTCGAGTCACCGTAGCAGAGGTCTACATCCAGACCGAAGCAGACCGAGGTGAAGCGCGGCCAAGCTCGGTGAACGCGCCCAGCTTCACGATCTGCTGCAAGCTATCATCCTCGCCCCTCATGTCCCCACGCTACCCAGGAACGCCCCGCGACTAACTCGATGATGCCATTGTCTAGTGTCCAGTCCTCCGGTCTTGCCCTAGGGATGCGAAAATCTTGCAGATGGGATTGACTGCCGGTAGGTATTTCATATAATCTCGATATGGGCCCCCTCCACGCCCTCCCTGACCCTCCCTGTGTTCCCTTCCTTTTGGATAGCCCCCTCGACTGTTCACACTCGACTTTCGTTCCAACAACACAGGCACCTAGCCCCCAAACGGAACAAACACCGGCTTCAGTCACTGTCCTTGAGAAACAGGATATACAGCCATGACGGCGTACGATTCCACCCGGCCCCGGTCCATCGGGCCCGCCGCCGATGACGATGCGGTTCGAGACATTGAAAAGTCCGGCGCCGACGAACACCACGACGACAAGGCCGCCATCCTCGAGCCTCAGCTCAATGTCGGCGGCCACGGCCGCACCCAGCGCCGCCTGCGCAACTACCAGGTCACTATGATTGGTTTCTGCAGTGGTATCGGAACCGGTCTCTTCATCGGAACGGGCTCGGCCTATGCCAAGGCCGGCCCGGCCGGTCTGCTGCTCGCCTACATCATTGTCGGTGCCGTTCTGTGGTGTGTGATGCAGAGTATCGGAGAGCTTGCGACTTTGGTATGTGACTTAATAACCGCTGCAGGAGACTTCCTACAGTTATCATGGGCAAGAGGAAAACTAACTCTTCAAAATAGATTCCCACCGCCGGTTCATTCCCCCATTGGGCAACCCGCTTCATCGACCCGGCCGTCGGCTTCTCACTCGCAATCTCCTACGGCTACTGCTACACAATCTCCATCGGCGCAGAAGCCTCGGCAGCCGCGATCTTAGTGTCATACTGGACAGACATAACGCCCGCCGTCGTCATCACGATATCCCTCATTCTCATCCTCTTCTGCAACCTGCTCAGCGTGCGCTGGTACGGTGAGACCGAGGTCGTGGGCGGCTCCATCAAGGTCCTCTGCTTCATCGGCCTCGTCTTCACCTCCATTATCATCACCGCCGGTGGGGGTCCCAACCACGAGGCCATTGGGTTCAAGTACTGGAATAACCCCGGCGCGTGGGTTGATTACAACGGCATCACTGGTTCGACTGGCCACTTCCTGGGCTTCCTCGCTGCCTTTGTGAACGCGTCCTTCTCCTTCATTGGTGTATGTTCTCCATGCTTCACTAGAACCAAGAATTCGTGAAGAAAACTGACATCAAAAACAGGTTGAAACAGTCGTCATCAGCGCCGCAGAATCGATCAACCCCCACAAAGCAATCCCCAACGCCGCCCGCCGCGTAACATGGCGCATCGGCTTCTTCTACGTCCTCGGCGCCCTCCTCATCTCCCTCGTCGTCGACCCCCGCGAAGAAGGCCTCGTCTCCGGCTCCGGAAACGCAAACTCCTCCCCCTGGGTCATCGCCATCCGCCAAGCCGGCATCAACATCCTCCCCTCCATCGTCAACGCCTGCATCCTCGTCAGCGCCTGGAGCGCCGGTAACTCGTACTGCTGGGTCGGCTCCCGCATGATCGTCGCCATGACGACGGACCGCCAGCTGCCGCAGTTCTTTGGCCGCACGACGAAGCACGGCGTGCCGTACGTTGCTGTCATTACCTCTTGGTTGTTTGGGCCGTTGGCGTATCTTAGTCTCGGCTCTGGAGGTGCCGCGGCCGCGTTTAACTGGTTGCTGAGTCTGAGTACCGTTGCTGGGTTGATTGCGTGGGCGACGCTTTGCTTCTGCTACATCCGCTTCCACAAGGCCATGAAGGTGCAGGGCGTCAGCCGTGACACTTTGCCCTGGAAGGCGCCCTTCCAGCCGTTCGCGGCCTGGTTCGGCTTCATTGGCTCGACCATTATTGTCTTTGTTGCTGGATTCTCCGTCTTCCTTGCGGGTAACTGGTCGACTTCGGACTTTGTCTCGTCGTATATCGGAATCCCCATCTTCATTGTGCCCATCATCGTCTGGAAGATTGTTCACAAGACCAAGGTATGTTTTATTTTCTTCCCTAGAAGGCCGAGGATATCTTGCTGACTTGCCTTTAGTTCGTTCGCGCTCATGAGATTGATCTCTGGTCTGGTCGCCTTCACGAGTCAGAGTGGGCCCCCGAGAAGCCCAAGCCCACGACTGTGGGCGAGAGGGTCAAGGACTGGTTCTCGTGATCAACACAGATGTTGGAGTCGGATGTACCTCATCATCATTGCTGTCATTTGCGCATGAAGATGAACATTGTGTAGCATTAGTCTTAGTAATGGAACTACGGAAACATCTCCGTTGAAGACTCAGTCATTGAGCTCGACATAATGTGTGTGAAACTGGTCTTGCCATATAACCCAATCGATGTTATTTCGCCCAGAGTAGACCTGCCAGTCCGTCATCAAGGCCACCTGGGGCGGCATCTTTTATCGCAACATATCAAACTCAACCTAATTCGATCATCCAAATACCAAGGGGTAAGTCTTCCGCCGAGTTTCCCTCCACGAGCATGTTGACTACCTGCAACTGAACGAGGCCACCATCGGACCTGGGTCACCGAATCTGGGAGATGGTGAAGAGAACTATCATGGGATGCCATGAAGAGCAAGTCGGGGAGAGGTAGGCGGTCACGCAAGTTGGGGTTCTCTCATAGACCTTCCAGTTAAATCACCACGAGGTGCTGTTACTTCCTATGCGAGGTCTCTCGAGCGGCACTCGTCACCACCGTCGCACTACGGCATCTTGAAAAAGAGCGTTGTTTACCCGACGGACCCAACGCCCTTCATCAGGCGATGCTCACATCGTTGCCATCTCGGGAGGTCGGGCCCGATGCAAGGACGTCATTCTAAAGTTGGCCCCCGGTCAGCCCATCCAAGAAACGCAAAGCAGAGCTCAAGTGATGAAAATGAGCCAGCCTGAGCTTTGACCGACGTCAAGGGAAAGATTCCCAGACTTCGATAAGCTGACCACCCCGACTACATGGTCTCGAGCAGTCGATCCCACCCCCTTGTTATCGCTACCCCCGCTGGGTTCGAACGGTCAGAACCCCAGGTTCCGGCCATGACCAAGATCGTTGCCAATTTTGATACCGCTTGACTAAGTGCAGTCTCGCTCAATAACTTCCATCTTTGGGCGCTCGTTGGGCCCCCCTGCACGTAAGTGTATCCACCTTTCGCGGTGTTGGTAAGCCGGGAAGTGAGGCTTGTCAGCCGTACATCGGTAAGGTTAGTAGTCAGACCATACACCATACATCCACATCCACACACAAACACACACACGACGCATATCCGTGTAACCTGTACACACACAGCCCTTATCCCCCGCGTTTCTTCGTGTCCACGTACCGATAACGGAGTCGCCGCTGTACTACGCCGCAATCCGCCCATGCATTTGCATTCCACGGTGTGTTTGCGACATGGGGCGCACCAGGGTCCAGGAGATATTAGCGAAGGAACAACGAAATGGGACTTCGGGGCTCAAGGCGTGAGGGATGGCGGCAATGGTGCCCGCCGTTCCGGGCATGTTGACGCGTCAACTTCTTTCCCGTCGTGAAGTTCGCGGGTACGCCTGAAAGTCACCTCATGTGAATTTGAATGGTGTCAAAGCCTTGCAAGAAAAAAAACCCCCAACTCACTCGCTCTTAGCCATGTCGTCAACACGAGAACATCCAAAAGTCAACCGAAAAAGACTTTCTGAGAGTGAACAGCTCAGCCGCCCTATGGACCTTTTCTCACAAGAAGCGTACTGTCTACGGATACTCACTCTTTGGTTGGAATTGGGGGACGTCAAGGGCTTGGCGTAAGCAGGCCCGTAGGACGGCAGATCGGCTGGCTCAAATAGGTTTGGTCTCCTCCTGCACGAGTCTCGGCCGTTCCGGTACAACGCACTTTTGCGCAGTTGCTGATTTGCTTTTCCCCTACATCTGAACCCCCTCCCCTGCTAGAGCTTATTATCGTTCGGGTGGTGTTGGTGGTGGTCGTGGTGGGTGTAGCGATTGACTTACCTTACACGCATGGTGGCATTGCAAGGGGTCGCTGTTTCGCAGATTACCCTGGCCCGCCATGTTGGTCTTGAGATTCTGGGAACTTTGTGAGTGAGGCCAAGGAGGCCTTTGCATTGAATTGTTGAATGTGTTACCCGATCCCACATATGTAGGCTGCGTTCCCTCTTGCCAAGTTACTATCCGGCGGTCTTGGATCATTGTTGATTGGGATGGTGAATAATGTGTGGGAGACTGGAGGGTGCGATAACCTAGGCGAGGTTGGAAGAGTATCCTCATCGAGCGACTGGCAGCCGTTGAGATATCTGTCTTCAATCGATAGTCGCCTGTCGATCAGTCGCCAAGATCCCAGATTCTCAGGGTACATCAGGTCTGATTTTGCACAAAGCCTCTGCGAACAGCGTCGCCAAGATCGCGAATGCGTGGCAGACCAGGCAGGTCCCCGGGTCGGTGTTGTTTTCGCCAAAAACGCCCCGCTGGAGAGGTAATGAGTGGCTGAGACGTATGAAATGACATTGGTCTTCTTTCTTTGGAATCAGAAGAGAGATTCTGTCCAATGTTCTTCGGCCGTAAATTGATTGCTGATGACCTATGACCAACACGGCAGATGGAAGTATCATGAGCCTCCGTCATGTCGACTCATCCATTTCTTCTTGGAACGTCTATTGGTAGTCGCGACAACCACGCTGCCTAGATGTGACGAAGAATGAAGGCGTAGTAGGCACTAAGATGATGAGAGTCATGATGCGCTCTTGAGATTGGTTCGCAACGGCGGTGCTTCTCCTGGGCTTCTGCATAAGAGACACTACACGCACCGCCCGCAGCGGACATCATAGAGCCCGTACTTTAGGGCTGAGTGATTCATCGTGGCACATCCACATCCCCAGAGGCCTCACGGTCGCCATCGAACACCCAAGATCGTGGTAAACTCGCATCAAACCTTTTGGCTTGACGCAGGGAGGGAGGGTGTGGGCGTGGTCGTGGGCTTGACACACATACAGCACACCTCCATGCTGACGGGCGAACCAGTGAAAGAGTCCACGACGGCTACCTCAGAGACACACACATCCCCAGGCAGACATAGACAACTTGCATACAGTGTCTCTTCCCCCGGTCCAGTCCTCGCACTCCTTCGGAAGGACGTTGGACAGGCACGTCACTAGAACCTCGGACTAAGTGGGTATGTATGGATGGGGCACGGCGGGTAAGGCTGGCAGTTGGCTTCTGGACGGGATCCCGGGTGTATCCCGTGTGCCAGTTACACGGCTGCGGTGCCCCCCTTCTCCCCCCCTTGGTGGTCCCTTTGAGTCCCCCTGGCGTCAGAAGCAGCGCCGGTTACACCCAATCCAACGTCTCTGATCGTGCCGCCTTAACGGGCGTTTCTCTTCTTTGGGAATCTGACGCCGAGAAGGCTGATCAAATCGAAAGACGCGAAGGAATGGGGGGTGGTGGTGGTGGTGGTAGGTAGCGTCCTTGTGGTACATAGGAGGAGGGACAATATTCATTCAACCTTGTTGTAATATGTGTTGGGGGCCATTTCCGGCCCCCAAACTTCTTCTTTTCCCCTTGGAAAGCTCTTGTTAATAGTATGGTTTTCACTCTTAAAGACGGGAGATTCGCCCTACTAGAAGCAAATTTCCAAGATTTTCAAATCTCCTCTTCTCTATTCTCTAAAATAGGAGCGAAAACGAACAATGACTTCTTCTGCGTGCACCTACGGCGGCAGCCAAATCAACTTCTTGATGCCCCGGACACCTGGTGTGGCATGGACCGAACCCGCGGGACACGCAATGGCCCCCAAGTATGATCCCACCTCCATCCCGACATGCATGGCAGCGAACACACAGATCTGGTTGGTGGCAAACGGAGAGAGAGAGAACAACAGGACGGCGGCGCGCTGACAATGTGATTCGTAGTAGGAATGGTGGCAACAATGACAGGCCGCGGATGCTCACGTTTGCTTTACAGAAAAGACCACGGGCTACTCGGGCGAGTGCCAACAAGGTCCGGACGGGATGCATTACTTGTAAGCCGGGTTCCACCACTGTTCATCTCTTGAGCTTCTCTTGAATGTCTTCATGGTAGCTAATCAGAACATCGTCACAGGCAAGTGAGTATTCCTTCCCGGAGTGAGAGAGAGAGAGAGAGAGAGAGAAAGCAGGAATAGCTTCTCACGCATTGTGGTCCCAGGCGCCGACACCTAAAGTGCGATGAAGTGACGCCCTCATGCCAGCGATGCATGAAATGGCAAGGATTCTGTGAAGGATACGATTCTTCCAACGGCTCATCAGCCTCCACTCCCGGCTCAGACGACGCAGACACCACCAACAAGACAACAACAACATCATCATCATCATCATCCGTCGTCCGCGTATCCAAAAGGAAGCCGCTCGTCGCCAACACCCGCCCCAGATCGCAATCTCACTTGATCGACATCAGCCTACCAGTCGAACCCACCGAGAACCTCTTTGGAAATGTCTTTGAACGCCAGTACTTTGACTACTGGCTCTCCCGCCGCGACCGCCTCGGCGGCGGCTTCTTCGACGAGCAGCTATGGGCCGAGACCATCCCGCAAATGAGCCACCAGCACGCCTCCGTCCGGTACGCCGCCATGGCCGTCGGCGGCATCGGCAAAGCCCTCCTGCACAGCCTGAAGCCCACCACGCCCGCCCAGCTGGGCGCAAACGGGCCGCACTACGCCCTCGCCCTCTCCTACTACGGCCGCGCGATCCGCGAGGTCCGCAAAGCTACCCGCGAAGAAACCGGCAGTCTCCGGGCCGCCATCGTCTGCTGCCTGCTCTTTGTCTGCTTCGAGGTGCTCCACGGCGATCGAAAGGCCGCTTTCGCCCTCATCAACAGCGGGCAGACGATGATGGACGAGCTGCTGCGCCGATGCGAGGAGGAAAAGAGTCGGGATCAGAGTATCATTGGCGCCGAGGCCGTCGAGACGGAGGCGCTGCATGTGTTCCAGCGGCTTATCCAGCAGTCTTGGTCCTGCGGCGTGCTCCGGCGGCGGGAACGGCGCTTCGTCGAGGGTGGGGATCTTCCTGTTGAAGAGAAGAAGGACTCATACTCCTCCGAGTCGTGGTGCTGCCAGGGTGGTCCGGGGAGGAAGTGCGCGATTCACAAGATGCCCGCGACCTTTGGCAGTCTCCAGGAAGCTCGTCGGTGGTGGGATGTGACACAGCACTACGTGACACACTCCTCCGACATTGTCTGCCGCGTCACCCAGCTAGGACTCGACGAGGACTTCCTCTCCGAATGCAACGAGCGCATCCGAAGACAACTAGAAGAAAGCGAGCGAGCGCGGACCGGCGCCGCCATCAACAAGCCGTCGTCCTCGTCTGCCGCCGCAAGTGCCGCCAAAGAGACCGCCTCGCACTGGCAAGACTTCAGAGACGCCCTAGCACGCTGGGAATCCGGCTTCGCGCCCCTCTGGACCGCAGCCCGCAAGCTGAACCCCACAGACGAGAGATCCTACAGCCAAGCAGCGCACCTCCGCGCCCAATACCTCACCCTCTCCAACTGCCTCGAGTCCCCGCTCGGCTGCAGCTACGAGCGCGTAGCCCGCCTCACCCCGCGCTTCCGCGAGGTCATCCAGCTGTCCGCCGGCCTGCTGGCCTACCAAAAGCGCTCTTCCTTACCCGGCGAGATCTTCACGATGGACATGGGTCCCACGTGGCCTCTCTTCCTCGCGGGGACGCGGTGCCGCGTGCCCGAGCTGCGCAACGAGGCGATTCGGCTGCTGCGGGAGAACCCGCGGCGGGATGGGCTGTGGGATAGCCGGTTCTTTTACGCGCTGATGATGCGGAATAAGATGTTGGAGATTTCGAATTCGAGGGAGGGGACGCCGGAGGAGCAGTGGTGGCGTTTGCAGCATCGGTCTGCGTGTGTTGATGAGCAGGGGGCGTTGATTGCCAAGGCGATGGATAAGAACCCGTTGACGGGGACGTGGGATCTGGGGGAGGATAATGTGAGGCGGTTTCTGTTTGATTGAACTTTGGGTTGATTCTCGAGGGGAAGAGGATGGTCTTGTAGTTCTTCCTGGTGAGGGCGTGAGGGTGAGTGGTAGACAACTTGGTTGTCTCTCCATCATGGCATTGGACACGGGCATATCCCTGTTGGAGTGTCGGTTCCCAGACTTGAGAAGGAATTGGAAGGGATCTGGCAGACCGCGAACGTCTTCAGATTCATGGGATTCTGGGTGGCCATTGTGATTTGAATCATCGGGCTAGATTAGATTCTGTTATCCCTGATGACTATTAGTATCCAATGGCCTATTTCCCTACATGGAATCATCGCGAAATATCAGGCAATGTTGACATCAGCGATTGTTGGCTCCCTGAGGATCGTGATATGTCCCGTCAGTTCAAGTTGTCAATGCTAACACGTAAATGTGATTTCAAACACTCAGAGGGGAGTGGTATCCTGAACGCAGCGTAAATCTTCTCAAATCCAACTCATCCAACCCTTGTCCCTACTAGTTTAAGGAACCCCTTTAATCAAACACATCCGTAGCATACCTCTCATTCCGAATCCCCTCAAACCACTTCCTCGCCCCTTCATAATCCAGATCCCTCAACTCAGGAAGCCCCTCACCCCCGTCCTCCTTCGCAGACTCCAAAATCACCCTCACACAAGCCTCCTCAACAGCCTTTCCCACATTCCTCGTACCGCACACAAACAACTTGGCTCCCCTAGCCCACAGCTCCGATATATCCTTTTTATCGTGGTACATCTTGTCCTGTACGTACCGACACCCTCCACTCTCCTCTTTGCCTTGCTTTTCCCCTTCAGCACCAGCGCGAGAATACGCCCTCCTAACAGAGACAGCACCCATCTCCTCCCACGCATCAAATTCATCGCGGTACAAATCATCCGCGCCCGGTCTCCGACACCCGAAAAACAACAACGCGGGCGCGAGCGTTCGTCCCGCAGCCAGCATCGCAGCACGCTCCTGGATAAAACCGCGGAAGGGCGCGATGCCGGACCCAGCAGCCACAATAATCAGCGGCGTCTTTTCCGGGTCGCGCGGTAGGTGAAAAGCGGCGTGCGAGGGCCGCACAGCGACGTGAAGTTTGTCGCCCGCTTTCAGGGCAGCGAGATAGCTTGTTGCTACGCCGACGTGGCGGCCTTGGCCTGATAGCGAGGGAGAGTCGAGGACGGAGTAGGTAAGGGTTGCCTGGGAGGGGCTGCGGAGGGGGGAGGATGAGATTGAGCTAGGCGAGAGTCAGCGACTTATTCTAGAGATACTTTAAACCCCCAGAGTAGTAGTACTTACTATTGTCGTACGCGCATGGGCGGGAGCATGGCGAGAAAGGCACCAATGGGCAGCGCGATGGACGGGAACCTCTCCAGGAGATCCAGCACCGTGACGCGTTTCTGCGTAATTTCCTCCTGGTACTCATCCCCGGCGAGCTGCTCAAGCATCTTGATGGCGTCCTCGTCCCGCGTCGCCTCCATCAGGGACAGGATATTCCGCTTTGTCGCCGGCTGCGCGAGTTCCACGTACGCGCTAAGGATATCCAGTGCCGATATGGCCTGGTTGACCGGCAAGGCAGTTCGCTTGTCGCCAGAGATGGTCAGGCACGCATCCCACGCCAGCTGGAACCTCCGAAACACCCTCTCGACGTTGCTGCGCGGGTTGAGAGGCAGCACTGCGAGGTAGTCGCCAGCTCGATACGTCATGTTTGATGGAAGCTGGATGTCCATGTGCCTCTTCTCCGGCTCGCCGGGCGAGGTTAGTGTCTTCTCCTCGGAGACGATGGCCTCCTGGACATCAGAACGCAGCGTCGACGTCCGCGGGTTGGATATTTGCACGGCGAGACCAGATTGCAGACCGCCCCCATCCTGCGCCTCGGCCACGTCGTACTTATCCGCTAGAGCCGGCCAAAGGATCTCGTCCTCCCAGACTTCAAAGTCGGAGAACATGTCTCGCTCGGCTGCGTCAGTGAGACCCATGGGCACAAGTCTGCTGCCTCCACGTTCCTCCAAGGTGTTATCAACCAGCTTCGGAATGCGGTGGAAGGTCTGCACCCAGTCGTGGTGTCCACAGCCAAAGATAGCATACGGAACATCTTGCAGCTCCTGGCCCTTTAGGCTCTCGAGCCAGGCGACAAAGTGGGCTGCGTTGTCCGGCGGTTGGCCCTCGTATGAGGCAGTGATGATAACCACGGGCTGGTCCTTGGCAAGACGTTCTCGGGCGGTATCAAGAGGCTCTACGACCGTTGCGTCAAACCCGTGGAAGCTCGCGTCTGTAGCAAGGCGCTGCGCGAGAGCCTCGCATGTGCCACTGTTGGAGCCATAGTAGATGCTGATGGGTTTCCCGCTTCTTTGGGCAGTCTTGTGCCCGTTCGCCTGGGCCGACGGTGAAGGCCGATGAGTGAGCTTGGCCTTACTTGCACCCCTGCCGGCAAGCCGATGCTCTAGTTCTGTGGGACTCATTCCATGTCTCAGGGTGGCACGCATGGAAAAGTCCTTCGGCTTGATCGTAAGGGACTCGGCAATCTTAAGCTGATAACTCGGGTCGTCCATGGTGAAGTTGAAGTTCTGCAGCAGCATGGCTGTGGCCAGTAGAGCCTCTTGCCAGGCGAAAGGCCGGCCGATGCAAGCGCGCATGCCGTTGCCAAAGGGCTTCCACGAGTTGGGGAATTCCCTTTGAGTTCGCTCAAAGTTTTCGTCGAGCATTCTCTCGGGCTTGAATTCGCCGGCATCGTCGCCGTAAACGATGGGGTCGAGCTGGGATTTGCCGAGCAGGCAGGCAATGGACTCGCCCTTCTTGACGGGGTATTTACCGCCGATGAGAGTGTCTTCCTTGGCTTCGACGGCGAATGCGGGAATGGTAGCACAGAGGCGGAGGGTCTCACGGAGGACCTAGCAGGTTTTATATTAGTATGACTGTCCCATGGCTTACCTGTAGAGATGTGTCGAGACTCACAGCATTCAAATAAGGCAACTTGGAAAGGTGATCGATCGTGATTGGGCCTCGTCCAACAACATCGTCAACCTCCTGTTGCGCCTTTCGATATGCCGCCGGCTGCCGCAAAAGCTCGAAAAACGCAAACGACAACATGCCGGAAGTTGTCTCGTGGCCGGCAATAAGAAAGGTGATCAAGTTATCAATGATGCTGGCATCGGTCATCTTCTGGCCCGTCTTGGGATCCACGCCATTCAACATGGCAGACAACAAGTCCTTCCTCTCAGAGGGGTTCTCTTTCCGCGCTTCGAGCACCTCTCTCGCCGTCTTGCGCAACAGGTCGATATCGGCAAAGAATTTCTGCTCGGCGCTGCGGAAAAAGTAGTTGGCAAACGCGGGCCTCTTGTCCCTGTTGCCGCATTCTATGAGGGCGTCGCCCATGGCGCTGATGAAGGGGTGAAGCTCCTCGCGGTAGTACGAGTTAAAGCGGAAGTCCATGGAGCAGAGGGCGATGGTGTCGAGTGTCAGGCGAGTGAAGTCGTCAGTAACGCGGATCGGGGTCTGGCTACCGTGGCGGGCCCATTTCATGGCCATTTGGGAGGCGACATCGGCCATCTCATCAAACATGCCGCGAATGGTGACGGGGCCGAAGGCTGGGATTAAGATTCTGTGGGCGATGCCCCAGTTGGGTTCATCTGGTTTAGCCTTGGAGTTTATTAGTAACAGAGTTGCTACGGTTGCTGAGAGTGGAAGGGGGTTCTTACGGTGAAGAGGCCATCGTTGGCGACATGTCTGACTTCCTGCAGGAAAGATTAGCTTTGCGTGACGTCCGAGGGATCGACTTGCCTTACACGGAGAACATTGTTCAAAGACTTTTGGAAGCGACTTTCATCGCACACTTCGTTGACGAGGGCATTTGTGGAAACGAAAACCACAGTCAGCCCTGGCATGCGCAGCCGGTAAACCTCGCCTACAGGCATAGTTCAGCAAACTTCATCCAACATTGAATTGGCCTGGAGAGAAGTCAATGGCTCACCATACGTATCAGCCAAACGATGCAAGTCGTTCAAAGGATTTTCAGGATTGAATTCGGCAATGTGGCCGAGAAAGGGAAGACCTCTTGGCTCGGGTATGGGCACCTCCTCTTTGGCCGCCATGTTTGACTGTCGTTCAGCGTCGTATGATTTTGGATACGGAAGATGGATTCTAGGTAGGCCAGACAGACGAAGGGACAGCGCCCAATTTGTACTTCTAGTTGATGTCCGCGATTCAAGTCGAGTGTCTAGAACGAGGCTGTGTCAAGGGTACAGCAAAATCCCGAAGTCGTCGCGGGTTGTAGAGGTAGAGAAAGGGAGACGAGTGTGGAACTGTCTGGTGGAACAACTCGGTGAATTCCCACCTTCTCCAGTGGTCCCAAGTGATCAGCGTCAAGGCTAATGACCGACGGCCTTTTGATATTTAGTAGTGGAGTGTCGCAGCCCCATCTTTTCACGACCCAGGTTGCTGGGCAGGTGGGAACGCTAGCAACAAGAAACAGCAGGGGGATTTGGTAGGATGATGTGGAGGAAAAGATGTTCAGAGACCGTATTTTGAGAGGAGAATGAGGATGGCACAGATGGTAAGCGGGCGGGCGGGTCGATATGTACGTTGGTCCGAATATAGCGCCAGGGGTGTTGGTCAGAGACGAGGAGCTCGTAAGTTCCAAAAGACGAGTCCACTACTTGTAACTCGTCAATCTTTGGCCAGTTATCGACGCTATTCGGTGTGTCTTGCCCCGGTTCTGAAGTACCTTTGTAGGTACGCATAGCGGCACGAAACGAAGGATGTTTGCCTGCACTGCTGCAGCGGTTGGTTGAGAATGCCTATCACCATGTGAGACTATTGGCTGGGACGCATATTCATAGCCTAGAGCGCATAGCCGCCTACCTCTACAGGCAGAGATTGTAATACCTTGGGCTTTACAGAAAGGCACAATAGGCCTAGTTTCTGTGTAAAGTTGCCGGGGTCTCCCAACTACGCCAGAGAGATGACGGCGAGTGGGAAGTGGTCGGCGTACGAATACACCCAGTAGCTAAGTTTTGAGACAGTAAGCGTGTCTCTGCTCGCGTCGTGCTGCCTGCCAGTTCCCCGAGGCCGATACGTGTGTATGGAGGACACTTGTCATTCGATCGATGCTGTATTTTTCTTGCATCTGGGGGAGCCACGATGATTGAGTCATGAACCGTCAAGTTTGAGTGGCCCGGGAGTTACAACCGGAGCGGGCGAATAGAGTTCGGCGGGTTTGCAACGCCGACCCTCCGGTCGATAGACTCTCATGATGCCAGCGATTGGCGGCGAACAGGGACGCGCTGGGGTGGATTATTCCGCTAACTCTTGGTTCCGGCCCTGAACTCTCTTCTATTTTTGTGGAGTTTGTCTCGCAGTGCCTCATCCGCTGTGGAGGTAATCCGATGTATCATCATCATGAGCGTAGAAAAAACAGGTTGTACCCGATGATGGCGCTCGTCACGCGAGAGGATTGCTGTGTTACACAGCCAACAGACTGCCAGGTAGTGCACCTTGAGCAGTGTGGGAGGTTGACAAGCTGGCGAGCGATTCGTGCTTTTTCGTCGCGCTGCGCCGCCGCCGAGAGAAAGGCGCGAATTTCCCGAGGCGAAAAGACCGAAAACGCGGAGATACGCCTGACTGGCTGGCCCCCCCTTCTCTCAGTCGCAATTTGTCGAATGGGATTCACGGAGTATTTCGTAACGCTCCCAATTTGTATCCCGCGTAATTGATGCTCGAAATTGTCTCCGCCAGAGCAGTGACATTGATGTTGGCTCCACCAATCTCCACGGCTGTGTTGATTCTAGGCGGACTAGGCCCCTGGAGTCGGGAGTTGGGATAATAGGAGTCGGACAGACTTGAGCTCCGGAGCGGCTTAGGGCGGGCCGCTATTCGATCTCGATCCTGGGTCGCTTGGGCTGCGGTGGCCTCCTGGATGAACACGTAAGCTGTGAAACTCGTCTCTAGAATGGCATCTCAGCACCTTGGCTGTGGAAGAGAACTTTCGTAGAAGAGGTGAAGGAGGCAGAAGAGGCAGAAGTGCCTTATCTGTGTAAGATGTGGACAGTCATATTTGTGAGTGACGGTCACTCTATGTGTGTGTTTCGACAGTATGCAATCAATCAAAGGGATATAATGATGATGGGATGAACAGATGATTGGAAATCATAAAGTCAAACATTGCCAAAGCCGTCAAGGTACCTTGTGTACCTGCCTCACAAATCCAGGAGCCCGGAGGCAGGCACCACGGACGACGACGGACATCGGCGGCAAGGGCAGGAGCTGGTGCCCCACCCACCGCGGGGTAACGCCGTGGCGGGGTCAGAACTTGAGGTGCTCCTATCTTTCGGTCACATCAACCCGGACGCCGATCCCGCCAGGTTTTTTTTCCATCGTCAACTCCAGCCCGTTGCGTAAAGTCCCTCGCCATACGATACAACCAGCCTCCAGTTAGCCGCTCGAATCCAAAGGAAAATCTTCAACCCCCCGGTTACAACTCCAATCCATACCATGGCAGACGTCAAAGCAAACGCCGAGGCGCTCATCCCAAAATTTAAGCTTGAACGCGTCCTCAACCAAGGTACGGTCTATCCACACTCCTGCCACCACCACAACTCACGAAACCGACACTAACACCGACGGTGCCTCTCCAGACCAAGCAGGCCGCCGTACCTCCCTCCTAGGAACAATCGACTCCAACCCGGCCCTCCTAATCCTCGAACGCGCTCCCTTCCCAACCGACCCGTCCTACCTAGCCGCAACCCCGAAAACTCTCTCCTCCATCACGAACCTTGGCGCAAACGATATATACCACTGGTACCTCGCCAGCAGCGGCGTCCCCTCCTCCTCCCAAGCGACACCCGACCCCTCCCTCGCCGACCTCAAGATCAACCTAATCTACCCCTGCACCGCCTCCCACGTCAAGAAATACAGCAAACAAGGCGTCCGCTTCGTAACCGAAACCCCAGAGCTCTACGCCTCGCACATCCGTCCCTACATGCAACGCAAGCGCGGCGAGGGCCGGCTGGACTGGGTCTTCAACATCATCGAGGGCCGCACAGAAGTCGAAGACGTAATCTACCGCACCGAACTCGGCACCCAAGGCGACGAAGGGTTTCTCCTCATCCCGGATCTGAACTGGGACCGCAAGACGATGGAGGGACTTCACTTGCTAGGCCTCGTCGAGCGCCGCGACATCTGGTCTCTGCGCGACCTCCGCAAGAAGCACATCCCTTGGCTGCAGCACATGAGGGCCAAGTTGTTGGCGGCGACTGTGAAGCAGTACCCCGACATCGAGATCGACCAGCTCAAGCTCTACGTCCACTACCAGCCGACGTACTACCACTTCCACATTCACATTGTGCACGTGCAGCTGGAAGCCGGCGCCACGCAGGCCGTCGGCAAGGCGGTTGGTCTCGACAGCATCATGGAGACGCTCGAGATCATGAAGGGAGACGAGGAGGCGGGTATGGATGGTATTGCACTAAGTTACACACTTGGCGAAGCCAGCGAGCTATGGACAGAGGTGTATGAGCCCCTCAAGAGCTCTAAGCAGAACGGTACAGCTTCTCAATAGCGATGACGAGATCGTTGGGGCCCGCGCCGTGCGGGCAGTCCTTCCACTCGCCGCCGTCCCGGATGCAGTAAATCTCCTCGTTGAGCCTAACGGTGCAGCTCTTGGTGACGCCGGCCTAGAGAGTCGATTAGACACAGATTAGATACGAGGGAAGTGTGGGCCCGAACTTACATCCTTACTCCGGCGGACGCTGTCACGCAGCATACCAACACCAAAGCCGCCGTCATCCAGGGTAGCGCAGTCGTCGAGAGCCTGGATGTCGATGGCGTGCTCCAAAGCGCAGTCCTCGACCAGAGTACGGTCAGGGATGGCGCTGTATTCGCGAGTGAGGCACATGGTGAAGCCGAGGTTGATCTTGGGATCGGGATAGAGGTGGATGGCGCAAAGCTCAATGATGTTTCCCATGCCTGTTGGACGAAGGTTAGCGTTCGGATGCCAGGTGCGCGACATGAATACTATAGAGGAGCAAACATACACTCGGCAGGGCCGTGCTTGCAGTCTACGCCGTCATTCTCGGTCGGTCTGGATAGCAGGTTTCGTCAGTCCCAGTTTCGTGGAGCAGCGGAAGAGCCGTAGAGTGATTACTTACGTGCCGATATACGACAGAGTAAAGTTGACCTTGTCCAGTGACTTAACCATGGTAGGCAGAACCAAATCTCTCAAGCAATCCTATACACATCTAGCATCAGCATCCCTAACCTGAACATCTTATCTCAACGTTGATTGCCGCGTACCCTCGCATCCGGACACTTGCTCATAATGTGCGCCTCCAAAGGCACCAAGCTCTTGGCAACCTCGACCGGCGGCTCCTGAGGCACGATGCGAGAAGTGCCACTGCTGGCCTGGCTCAACGGGTGACGCAGGTAATTCCACAGAGAATAGGCAAACAAGACAGCCATGGCCAGGGCAGGCAAGATGCCCTTTCGCCGGGTCATCCGTGCAGACATGGCCGGGTGGGGAGGAGGAGGTGTCGATGTGCGGTATCCGTAGTTGTAGTCTCGCTTTTCGTCCATGACAACGGGGTATTCGGGTTCGGGGTATCGATAGGAGGAGCGAGTTTCGGGCGCGGTAGTAGTGGTAGTCGTCGTTGTTGTCTTGTCGGCAGCGGCAGATTGGGATCGAGCTTCTTCTTGGCGCAGTTGACAATTGACGGAGCGGTGTTCTGAACAGCCTCGGTGTGCCCCCATTTGGAGAAAGAAGCTGCAAGATGGTCCCCCGAAGCAAAGTTTAGTAATGACGGGATAACGTCGCGAGGGGTGGTGCCGTGGTGGTGCACTGGCACTGGTTGGTGTGTCCGTGAGATTGCGACAGAGACGCAGGATGCGCGCAAAGCACAATGCACCCTTGAGCCAATAGGAGTCTGGTATCCGTACCTCTCAACCTCTCAGAGACGAGAGAACCTTAGCAACGACGACGGAGCGGACGTTGGAGGAACGTCGACGCTAGCTAGATAGGGAAAAGCTTGATGAGATTATAAGAGTACATGAGATCTCGGCAGACTTTGCCCTTGAATCCATGTATCTTCATATCTCCACCTCTCAATGAGGTGGTCTGCCCGATCAGCAACAACGGGCAACAGCGGGGGCTTCCTGTTCCTGGCGAACCTCCCGCCAGCTCCTCACTGCCTTATCTTATCAGCTGTTGCATTCGTCAAGTGCGGGAGGGTCCATTGGCGCTGATGTAACAGTGCGAGGTCCTTCTTTCCCATGACTGTACCGCCATCTGACCTCATCAGGCCTAATTTGTGAGGACTGAACAGTGAACAGTAGTAAAGCTTCTTGATTATATAGTTAGAGACAAGGACAGGAGGTAAAGTATTCGGGCATGATACCAGGATTTATAGCAAAGAACATGAATACCCGCCTACTTAGCAGCTTCAAGTCACTTATATCTAGGGGAAGTGACTCAGTGGCTAATCCCCACCCGCACCTGCTTTCCACACAACGGTGGTGAGGAGCTCCCCTTCCTGTTCTGGGCTGAGCTACGACGGGAAGGACCTGACATCAGGTGTGGATGATGGAGCAGGCGCATTTCAGCTGGGTGTAACGTGCCCTGCTCCATACTCCATGCTCCTTATTGTCATTCTCCCATCTCCCTTTCCACACATTGCGCAACTTCAAACGTCAGATTCAACTTTTAGATTTTTTATTCCCGACAACCAAGCTGGATTCGATTCTCTGCCCGTAGAGCTTTGCCTCAACCATTCACGCGAACATCCTGAATCCGTAAATGGGTACCCGCCCAGCCAAGCAACCGATTCTGGACTCGGCAAAGCAAAGCGAGAGTAACAGAGTGACATAGACAAACCTACAGATATATGCAGACCTAGAGACGTAGGAAACAACAGCCTCATCGCCTCGTCGCCTCGTCGCCTCGTCGCCTCACGCCTCACGCCTCACGCCTCACCACTACCCCCGCGCCTGAGCACAAACGACATGGATCCCAGTTCTGCCCTGCAGCAGTTTCTGCAGCCCCTCCAAGTCGACACCCGCAAGATTCATACACTGTCCAGTCACTTCTTTTCTAATTTCAGAGACCTCGCTCTTTATGCCGAAGACCAGTTCCTCTCCACGCCCATCTCAGAGTCCATCTTACGACATGTCAGCCGAAAAGGTCATAGAAGGTATGATGATTCCCTCCTTTGACCCCTTGATTTTATCTCGACTCGACCTAGCCTCCTGGGATGCCCGTCATCTCTTCTGAAGTATTCGTTTAAATCATCCAGTGACAAGAGTTGTGCAAAGTTGAGATGAAATCGGGGTGTGCTTTTGCCATGTTTGATACTGAGGCTAACAACGCACTCCAGACACCTGGCCATTGACATGTACGTCGCATGAACCCTCCCCCACCAACATCAGCCACCCGTCTCCATTTCATACGCATCTCACCATGCTGTAAGGCTTCCCTGGCATGTTGATCAGATCACTGACCTCAATGCCAGCGGCGGGACGAATCTGAGGGTAGGCCTCGTCGAGCTACAGCCCGAAGAAGAGACAAACGCCAACAAGACATCCTCATCCCCGTCCAAACCAAATGGAACCGCCTCATCATCTTCATCGCCGACATCAACACTCTATCTCAAAGAGGAAGCATGGCCCATAGACGACGGCGTCAAAGCAGATGCCAAAGGTGATCCCCAGCTCCTCTTCGACTGGATTGGCACCCGCATCGCATCCGTCGTCCGCAATGCCCGCAAGGAATCCCTGCTGCCCGACGATGATGAACCCATTCCCCTGGGCATCACTTTCAGCTTCCCCATGATCCAGCGTTCCATCGCCGATGCACAAATCATGACAATGGGCAAAGGCTTCAGCATCAAAGGCCACGCAATGCTAGGTCCTCTGCTGATCAGGGGCTATGACAAAGCTCGCAACGCCCAGTCCAATGGAATGCATAGCCGCCCTCTGCCGCCCATCTCCGTCGCCGCCATATCAAACGACTCCGTCTCAACACTAGTCACCTTCATCTATCTTTTCGACGAATTCAAGTCCACATCCCAGCCCAAGGTCAAGTCCAAGTCCAAATCCAAATCCATATCCCAGTCACCGTCCCTCATTATCAAGAAGGCAAGCATGGGCCTTATCGTCGGCACAGGTTGCAACGCCACCATTCCGCTCCCTCTCACCGCTCTTGGCCAAAACAAGTGGCCCGCAGCTGTGAGCACTCTTCCCAGCGAACCTGCCGGCCTCGTTCGCATCGCTGTCAACACGGAATGGAGCATCCGCGGCACGGCTCCGCCCCTACGCGAATTGGACTTCATCACGGCATGGGATACGGCCCTTGACGAGGCCCTCGTCGGACCGGGCGAGATTGCTGGCTTCCAGCCCCTGGAGTACATGACAGCCGGCCGCTATCTCGGCGAGCTGGGCCGCCTCGTTCTACTCGACTATGTCCGTACCGTTCTCGGCTTCAACGAGTCCTCATTACCAGCAGGCTTGCTCTCGAGGTACGCGCTGACGACGACGTTCTTGAGCCACTTCAAACCTGCCGATGATAATCCTTCCGACCCATCCCCTCTACTGTCCAAGCTAGAAAAGGAGTTCCCAGTAGGAGAAGCAGAAGCAGAGAAAATGTCATCATTTCCCTCCTTCCAATGGACACCAACAATCGCAGCAGCCCTCTATCATATCGCAAAAGCAATCGAGATCCGCGCCGCAGGAATTGTCGCAGCCGCCACCTTCGCACTCTTGAAGCTCGCAGACGACATACCTCCTCCTTTCCCAAAAGACCAGGAGAAGCATCAGGGCATCCCTCCCGCCATGGAGCTGGGTGTCGGCTACACGGGCGGTTGCATCTCCCATTTCCAAGATTACCTCGCCGACACGCAAGACTTTTTAGACAAGATCGTGAAGCTGGAATACAGCGCGGGCGGGTCGGATTCACCAGTGAGGATCATTCTGAGTCCCTGCCATGACGGCGGGATCAAGGGCGCCGGTATCCTCGCGGCCGCCACGAGTAACACTCATACGCAAGAAACATAGCATGTTGCAGAATGGTGGGAGAAGGAAAATAGCTTGAGGAACCGATTCAGGTCGAGTGGATGAGAGGTATTCATCCGCCTCAACTACCTGCCATGCCACGGCGGGCATTGCGAGTGCCCATTACATATAATAAACGGCGAAGAGTCACCTTTTGGGTGTGAAGTACAACATCATTACCTTGGACTTGCAAATAGGGCACATACTCTATAGGCAGAGACATTCATAATGCAAGAACCCTTTCAATTGACTCGGCAGCTCAACTAGAGACCCTCCTTGCTTCTGAGCAGGCTAGACACATCCCGCCTGCTGCACCCGAGATGTTTTGACTCACATCCACTTCCCCAAACTATTAAAGACAGTAAAATAAATGCAATTCCTTCGCCTCGTGCTTCACAGTAAACCCAATTCCCGCACCATGGCTAATCCCACCACCACCTTCCTCTTTCTGCTCTCTCTGCAAACATATCCTCAGTGCAAATATATACGACGCAAGCGACCTCCTATGCAATTCGAGCGATGGTGAAGAAGCAGACGCTATGCTATGCTATGTTGTTTTTTGATATCATTGGCGCAAATCTTTGGCACCCTCCCTCTCCACGTGCCTTGTTCAGATGGAAAACCCACTAACCAACCAACAGCCACCTCCCGCCCGGTTTTTTGGTCTTCGTCGGTCCCGACTAATGCTCCTCTCTTCCCCAGGTGAGGCCGTTTTAATCATTAAGATAAAAAAAGGAAATATGCCTTTGTAGATGGGTTGCGAAGTTCAATGGTGGCATCTAGCCACGCATCGCCCTCGTAGATCGATAGTTCAACCGAGGCGGCAGGGTAATCTCCATGTCGTCAATGCCCTCGTCGTTATCGGCCTCAATAGGCCCGTCGTCCGCCTCGAGAGGCTTGGACATATCCACCTCGATTGTCTTGGCGACTGGCGTTTTGGTTTCGGCCTCAATCTTTGCATCAACTTCAAGCTTCCTTGGTGTGATGGGTGGGTTGCTGTCCTTGGCGGCCGTGAGCTCCCGCCGCATGCTCGTTGGTCGAAGAGTCCGCACCTTGTTCGCCTCGTTGGCCGCTTTGAGCAGCTGGGGCTCATCTTTCTGGACTCGTTCCATTTCCTTCAGGGCTAGCTCCTTGGTCTCCGCCAACCGACGTTGGATGTTGCCAACCTCTTCTGAGCACTCTCCATCACGCAGGAACTGATGTGCCGCGTGCTCGCACTGATTTTGCACGTATTCGAGACACTTGTCCAGCTCGTCATACGCATCCGGGCCACCCTCGCCCATCATGGCGCCACCCCCGCCGGTCTGTCCGGCTCTCGTATATGAAGGACCTCTCCGACCGCCGGGTCCCATCCGCCTTGTGCTCATGTACCGCAAGGACGGCAGCGCGTCGGAGGCATTGTTATTGGTATCTGGCTGGAGGTCGCCAGCCTTATCGCCGTCGTAGTCTTCGGGCAACTCTTGTTCCGCCAGGCGACGAATCTGTGCCACCTTTGCTGCCATCTTCGCCTTCCGCATCAGGTTGCGGCTCGCCGATACAAACTTGACCAACTCTTCAAAGAAGAGTTGCACATAGCTGTCGTAATAAACCATGACCAGCTTTCGTGACCGGTACTTGATCGGCGCGCCTTCCTCGACTGATAGAACCGAATTCGGGCGGGGTCTCTTCTCTACGACAGCACGGGCTCGGGCTTGTGCCAGGGCCATTGCTTGCTCGGTCTGTTTCTTGAGGGCAGACGGCGTGCCGCTGCTCGGGCTGGAGGGTTGGTCGTTGGATTTCGGTTCATCCTGGGGAGGTGTCTTGGCTCCAGTGGCTCGTTGGGCATCGGCCTCTTCGGCATTGAGTTCGTCGGCTGTTGGGGGTATGGCATTGGCAGGTTCGTCCTTTGGCTTGAGTGATTCGGTAGAGCCGCGGTTCTTGATGGATCGCGTCGAGCTGTCTGCACCAAGGGCAGCGAGCTCGACTTGGCGTTGGTCTATTTGGTCCCCGAGTTCGTCGAGACGATTGAGCCAATCGGGGACATTGTTGACGATGTTCTTGAGGGCGTCCATGACCAAGTCTTGGTCTTCGTTCTTCTTTGAGCTGGCCGTGATTGCTACAGTCGAGAACTAGGCGTTGAGTGTTTTGGGGACCCTCAACGTCTAGTTGCAGAAAGTGTGGCAGGTTTGGATCGGGATGTTGTCGAGCAATGGAACGTAGCAGCGAATGCAGCAGGTTTTGAGGGGATTATTTGGTGGATTCTGGGGCGATGATCGGCGTTGCAGAGTCGTCGACAGGGAAATGTGGGAAGAGAGGAAGAGATCGACACGGTTATGGGTGAAGCATGGTCCGCCAGCAAGCGTTGGCGTGTCTAAGCTCTCTCTCTCTCTCTCTCTTTTGTGACTGTATTGGTGCAACAGTCCTCCAGCCGGTAGATGCTCAAGAGTTGTTGGTTCCTACGACAGGCGGTGCCAGAGCGAAGAGTAAAAACAGGCCTTGCGCTTGGGCTTGGGCGGCAATCGTAATCGAGACTAGCGGCGGTCTCGTGCCGGCAGAGACGTAGCAGACGTCAGTCGGGCAGAAAGCGACAGACAGTAAAGGATGTGAGAAATGCTGTGCTAGAGGCGTCGGCAGAAAAGGAGTCGTAATTGGACGAGTGTGATCGGCAACTAGAAGCAGAGGCGAGATCTGCGCGGGAAGTCTCCAAGCCTCGGATTGATGGAAATGGAGACGAGGGTGGAAAAGGGTAGGTGAGATATAGAGTAAGGTATGTGGATGATGAAGGATGGATGGATAGGCAGGTAATAAGCGTGGTAAGGTGTAGGTTAGGTAGATGGAGTGGAGGGGGAGGAGAGGCTACAGGACAGTAGTAGGGCCTACGAGGGTCAGAAGAGAGTTAGGTCGGCGTCGCTCATGTGTGAAATGCGGCCAAGTGGATGTACCGTTTCTATGCCTTCGTATGCTTGGCGTCAAGGTTGGGGGTCAAGGGCACTAACAGAAGCCGCTAGCGCTGGGAGGGAAAGGTGAAGAGGAGAATTTCGGTGACGGCTTGGTTGTCGAGGTGAGGCGGCTTGATGCTACTCTGGAGTCTGAGGGGAGTCGGAGGGGGGGGAGGGACTCGTAGTGTTTTCGATCTCAACGGCTGGATCGAATCGAGGGTCTCAAACAAAGACTACCGTGTGTCTGTAAGGTACGGCGCGGATGTGTCGTATGGAGTTTATGGCCAGGTATATGATTCTGCAGGATGAGTGTATTCGTATTTGCTTCGGAAGACGATGGAGCGAGGGGGGGGCCACCAATGGCTCTGATGCACAAAGAACAGAGAGGACGAGACAAGATGGAGGAGGGAGCATTCAATTATGAGAGAGAGAAGGCAGAGTTGTGCGATGTGAATGAAGTGGAGGATGGTGGGGTGGCAGGGCGGGCAACGGGGAAGCCAGGGACTTTGTTCAACAGCTCAGGAGGAGATTGGAGAGGGGAGAGAAAGGGCGGTAGAGGAGGAGTAGCAATGTCGGGCAGCCGTCAAATAAAAAAGGGACTGCTGTTGTTGGTCTGTTACTGATGGTTTCTTGTGTGTACGGAGTACTGTACTGTACTTGTTTATGTGTGCCAGTATGCGTATGTGTATCCGTAGAGATATTCAACCTCAGGCCCAGAGTACTTTATGGTCTCATGCTCTTGAGCAACCTCGAAGAAGCCAGCAGATGCAGCCAGTGCAAAAAAGCAGGAGAAGAGGAGAAGGAGAGGAGAGAGTGAGGACTGATGGAGTCTTGAGGTACGTACTCTGTACGGTGCCGAGAGTCTTGCTATCGCGGAGATAGTAGTGGATATGCTGGAGCACTCGAGCGAGCTTTTGAATAGACTTCCGAAACTATGTAAGGCGTTAATCCTCGAGTTATAAAAAAAAGCTGAAGTACTATATTGATATAATATCTATCTTATTAATAGTAAAGATATTTTACTTAATATAAAATATATTAATAATACTTTATGGCCGCGTTATTACATTTTATAAATACATAATTAGTAATAATACTTGAAATATTTACTAAAATTCTAAAACTTGTACTTAGTTAGTACTCTAAAGCTAGTACTCTATAGTATAAGAAATAAATATTAAGATCTCAATAAATATAAAGGCTATAGATGGTTCATAAATATATTTAGACTCAGTGATTTTTCACAATTCTAATAATATATTTATAATCCATAAATACAGGTACCATAGGAGTTACGTGCTTAAGAAGTTACATGATAATAAGAGGCTCAACTGAAGTATGTATCGACTGAGATATAACGCCTTGTATGCACGTACAACTTGTACGTAAATACGCTTTACATATACATGTTAAAGCGCCGGCAGGAACATATGTCCATATAAACTTAATAATAAATGCTCGGACTTAACCACCACATGTGATTACATGTGATATTCATATATCATATATAGACTACACTTTCTCATCATATCATAGAATAATTATCAATACAATCGATTCTCTGATTATCCCAACTCGTACCTTAATCTATTTACCTTTTCTTTTTTTGCCTACCTCTAACCTCTTAGTATAAAAAATTTAAAATCTTAATAAGCATTTATAGTTTAATTAAAAGGCTTTTATACTTCTTGAGGAGAGTTTATTAAGGGAGTTATAATTAAGCTTTTTAGCTATTGTAATTAAAGCTATTAGTTATAGTTAAAGTTATTAATATTACAAATTTTAATAAAAATAATAATTATTATAATTAATATTTTTTTAAATAAGTCTAAAACTATACATATTAATTTAAGTGCTAAGTAGACATTATATTATTTTACTTAAACTATATTCTCGTATTTGTAACTTATATGAAATCTTTTTTTTAATAATAAGGTACTTGGGGCAGCATGGAGTCCTATCGTTAGAGAGCAGGGGGTGTGTGTAAACTGCGAATGAGGAGAGGACGGACGAGGGACCACACTGCATCGCATCGGACTGGAGACTGGAGACTGGAGAGAGCAAGTGAGGAGATGGCCGGCCGGGCAAGGGTCAGGTATAGAAGAAACACGCCCCTGGGGGTGGAGTCAGCACGGCAACGGTACGTACCCACACCTTCTTTCCGCAAAAGACGGGGGTACCTCACGGGGGTACTGTTGTCACTGTGAGGAAGACGGAAGGAGCCATGGATGATAGATGATGGACCATGGAGAATGGAGAATGGAAGGAG